CCAACATAATATTCACCAATTTATCATAGCCGGTTTCTGCCTCATATTATCACAGTTCACTTTATTCAGATTGAGACTAATTACCATTGAGAAGGCAGCCCTTGGAAGGCAGGTACACCCACAGTGCTACTAGGAAAGGAGTTTGAGGAATTTGACACAGTGATATTGACGGAATGAGATATAATTCCAAGTCAGGGTGGTGTGCAGCTTGAGGGGAAATTTGTAAGTGTGGTGTTCCCACACATTTGTAGCCTTGTCCTTCTTGGTAGAGGTCACAGATTTGGAAGGTGCTGGCAAAGGGGCCTGAATGAGTTGCTACAGTGCACCTTGAAGATGATACACATTGCTGCCATTGTGTCAGAGAGTGAATGTTGAAGGTGTCCTGGATGGCCTCAAGATTCTTGTTGGAGCTACATTCATCCATCACACTCCTAACTTGTGGCTTGTGGCTTCTAGATGCTGGACATCTTTGGGACGGGATTGGGGTGCGGCGGGGAGGTGTGTGGTTTAAAAGCTGATACTGCAGAATTCCCAGCCTCTGGCTTGCACTTATTGCCTCCCACCATGCACACAAATATGTACATACATATATAGCTCATCCAATTCAGTTTCAGATCAATGGTAGCTCTTAGAATGTTGATAGCGGGAGATACCACAATATTAATGCCACTGAATGCCAAAAGAAGATTAGATTTTTTTTTCTTGCTGGAGATGATTATTACTTGGCACTTGTGTGGCATAAATATCATGGTGACCATGACAATTATAATTCATCATTATCAGCTGCTTCACTAAATGGTCCTTTAAGGAAGGAAATTTGCCATCCTAGTGTGGCCTACTTCTGACTTCAGCCACATTGCAATGTGATTGATTCATACCTGTTCATCTGCTATGGCCAAGTCAGCCATTCATTCAAGGACATTGAGGATGCACCACAAATACTGACTTTGCCAGTAACAACCACATCCCATGAAATGATATAGAGAAATGTCAGAGATGGACATAGGTGATCTTAATGATGTAGATTTGGAAAAACACCAGGAATCAAATGTGACACCAAAGCTGCAGTCTGATTCAATATCAGAGTGATGCCAGGGAGAGGGATGGATTTGGAAGCTAGAGAATGGAGCTTGTTGCTGAGACTGTTGCCTCAGTTTTCCCAATATTTGTGGGAAATTCCTGCACATCCTTTACTGAATGTTGGAAAATAGTCTAATAACTTAACAAATATGGAAACCCTGTCATCAAGAAATCACTCAACACCAAAGACAGTCTGCTCATCATGGACAGGGAGATATTAATAAAAACATTAATAAAAACCAAAAGAACTGAGATGCTGTAAATCAGGAACAAAAGCAAAGTTACTGGAAAAGCTCAACAGGTCTGGTAGCATCTATGAAGAAAACATCAAAGTTAATGTTTCGGGTCCGGTGACCCTTCCTCAGAACGTGTGTGTGAGAGAAGGGGAGATATTAATCTCAGTGCAGAGGTTTCACAAGCCATTGAATTGTTTGCCGTTGGAACAGCTTCAGTTGATGATGCATAAACTCATCAAGCTGGAGTGACCTGCAGCATCTGGAGAACCATAGAAAAGCTACCAGACAGAAACTAACAACTTAGTCTGTGCCAGCTGACCAAACTAGTGAGTCACCCATTCGAATTCCACTTACCAGTACATGGCCTGTAGCCTTGGAGATATTTCAGTTACAGATCCAGTTTCCTTTTAAATCAGATGAGGGTCTCTACGTCAGCAATGAACTGGAGAGTGAATTCCAAACACCTACCATCCATGGGGTGAAAGTTCTTCCTCATGTCCCCTCTAATCTTTCTACCAAATCATCTGAAGTCTGTGTCCCCTAGTAATTGACCTTTCACTTGGAGCAACAGGGTTTCCCTGCCCACTCTATCCATGCCCCTCATTGTTATAAGAAACAAAATATTTCTAAACTCCTCATGGGCCAGGCTTTCAAACTTACAAACTCCTACAACAATAACCAAAGAAAGAATTTATTTTACCCAATGCCTTTCATTCTTTTTTTTATGTTTACATAAACTTTACTCACAAATAAATTATTAACATAGAGATTCAGAACACAGGAAGAAAAACTACTGTGAAAAAAAAATCAGCTTTTATGTTCCCTGTATGTATACAAGGTTGTTTTTTTAAAAATTGTCAATGCATGTACTTTTAAAACAACTATTATGTGTAGAAATAGCTAGGAGCCCAGTCAATCCAGAAGAGCCCAACTCAAGTTTGTGATGACACAAAAGTATGTGGGAACGCAACTTCTGAGACTGACAGAGTCTGCAGAGGGTTATAGACAGGTTAAGAGGGTGGGCATAAAGTTGGCAGATACAATATAACATGGCAAAATATGAGGTTAAGCACTTTTGACTGGAAGAATAGAGGAGTGAAGATTATTTAAATGGAGCAAGACTGCAGAAAGCTACAGGACAACAGATTGGGAAGTCCTTGTCCATAAATCACAAAAGGCTAGCATCCAAGATCAGCGGGTAACCAGGAAGGCAAATAGAACATCAACGTTTATTTCAAAGGGAACAGAGTATAAAAATGGAATGATTTGAACAAACTATACTGGAATACCATGAACAATTTTGGTTCCCTTATCCAAGGAAAGATATACTAGTATTGGAGGCAGTCCGGAGAAGGTTCACAATGCTGATCCCAGGTGTGATGCTCAGAACATGGTGACAGATGAGGAAACTCTGTAGGGGGATTCACAATTAATAAGGAAGAAGTTTTGAATAGACTGTTGGTACTTAAAGTTAACAAAGCACCAGGAGCAGATGAGATGCATCCAGGGATTTTGAAGGAAGTGAGGGTAGAACGTGTGGGGACACTGACCGCAACCTCTCAGTCTTCCCTGGATTCAGAGGAGACAGGAAAATTGCAAACATTTTTAAATTGGGAGATACACTCTAAAGCTGAGAACATGTGATCTAGTTCTGGGGAGTGAGGATTTTGAACAGCAACTGAACAGGACATAATGAAACATCACACCCCTCTTTTTAAAAGGTTTCTCGTCAACCAGGGGCTTGATTCAAAGGCCTACGAAAACTTTATTGCTACAATCTGCATTAAAGGAGAATCCCAAGCCAACCCCAATGTCTCCACGGTAATCACACCAGCCATGACTGTAAAGTGACTTGCACCAGTAACTACAACAGCTATGGGAACGCTCAGGAGGAAACGAGCTGCCAGGCATGAATAATTTTCTTCCCTAATTTTACCAAATTGTAACATCTGATAGTGCTGTTAATGTGTATTTGGAGAAATTGATATATTCTTTTCTATTACTGCACTAGTTCCATATGCTTGTATGTTATTTCTGTAATTTTGCTTGAGTTTTAGAAATAAAGCGTAATTAGGGATACACATTCAGCGCCTGCATTTTCCATGGGGATTTACAGGGAATTGCTAGATGAAAATAACATGTATTTTAAAGCCTGCTTGAAACTAACCATTCAACTGTATAAGTTTGCACATTGGAGTTGTCAAAATATAGTGAATACACTTCAAATCTGCAATATGGAGGTTCTCTGGTGCGCCTGCTGCTTCCATCACACAGACTTTGACCACAATTTCCTCCTTCCCCAATCCGGAATCCCTCCTCTACATTTCTAACCAAGCTCTGATCCCTGTTCAAAGCCTCATCCCACAGTTCAACTTTCTACTGCAAGAAAGTTATTCCATTTCAGCCACTTCCCACCCTGGCTTCTATCAGCCATTTATCCCTTTATTCTTTTGCAAGCTGCTGGCAACACTGGCCAAGGCAAGCATTCGGGTGCAGGCCGAGGAGAAAGATGGTGAAACAGATTGTTGTGGGTCTGAATTCATGTATAGAACCTGAGGATTTCCTTCCCTAAAGGGACTTTAAACCAGTTAGGCTTGTACAATAAAACAAAACAAAACAAAAAAAAAAACTGATGGCAGTTTTGTGGTTACCATTACTCCGGTTTACTTAACTGAATTCAAATCCTAGTCTCCAGACTAACAACACCAGTTTCTGACCCAGACTAACTCAGAATCCAATTTTTGTTGCTCTACCATTGGTGACTGCAGACTCAGCTGCAAAAGGTCCTAAATTCTGGAATTCCCCTTAAAACAGCTCCCCACTGTTTTATTACAGCAAAAGAAAAAACTTAACCAAGCTTTTGGTCATTTGACACCACTTTTTTTGCTATTTGTTATTTCACTGTTCTACAAGTGCAATTTGCTGTGATATGCCTGTTTCCTCCTTTTGCTAATGAACATTCCTTCCCTTTGACCATATCGCTGTTAAATCAACCTTGTTTACAAGAACCACAACCAGACTAATGCATTTAAGTAATTTAAAAAGGCTCCCCAAGAAATTTGCGATTTCATGAAGTCACTCATAGGCAAAACAGTGCAACAGAATACACATTTCATTAGTTGCTCTTGACACCCAGAATTACAAATCAACCTCAACAGCTGGGAGCAGGATTAGTTGTGCCTGAAGACGTCGATTAGGCTGCAGTTCATCAAGCATGTGTGGAACTGCAGTGGAGAATAATACACCTCTTCTCCCACGAGGTTTAAAAATGTTGAGGAAGAGAAACATATAGCCAATTAGCTATTGAAGAAACTGCTGTTACTCCTGCAGCAGCATCAGCTTTGATCACTTCCTTTAAAAGTGTATTACTGGTACATTAGAAAATGTGCCAAGGCAGAATGCTTTTGTCAAGATTTTAAGTCTTGGCTTAATGTGGCTGCACCCAGTTCATCTGAATTAACATGTGACACAGGAAAATGCTCAGCTTTCTTGCTGTTGGGCCAAAGACAATTAGCACCAACTTCAGTGGGAGAACTGCAAGATCAACTCAAAATATACTTTAAAAACCATGGTTATGAAATTATGTGCTATTGGTCAGAATTATCAACAGTAAATCAATAATTATAACTTGAATATCATGTGACCAGCAAACCTTTTAAAAAAAACCATGACAAAAAGTCAAACTACTTTTGCTTAGTTTATTTCTTTTCCAAGTTTCAGAAAAATAACATTCAATTGATTCCCATTCTTCACCCAAAAAAAAACTTTCATCTAGTTGCAATCTGCAGTTATTGAAGATTATCAAATCAGCCAGTCTTAGAAGGGCAGAGTAGACACGATGGGCTGAATGGCTCAGTGTAACCTGCCAACAGGATGAAAGAAATGAAAAACAAGAAATCATGAGAAGTACTAAAACAACAAGTGTCATTAACTGAGCCCTTGACTATCTATTCCACAAGCTATCACTTGCTTTCATATCTTTGTCAAACTTTTCTAAATGCAGATTTCTATTCAGTTCAGCTTTTTAGAAAAAAAGTACTATTAATCACTAGATAGAACAGTGCAATGGTCACTAATAACCTTTACATTGCAACATTTCTGGACTGTACCCTCATTTCAAAATGTTTATCATCCTGCCCCTTACAGGGTCAGCTGGGTAGTTAGTGACGAGTGTAATCAATGGGACAGTCATGAACATCTAGATCATAATCACTCATTCAAGCTGTCCCTCCGGGAGGCAAAATAAATAAAATGCATTTACCTGATCATCAACAAACAAGGTTAGCACTGCAGCAGCTCTCCATATACTGTTCATGATGATAACTTCGTGTAGTCATACAGCTTGTCCTCCAAACCTTTTTCAAGAGAAATAATAAGCATCAACAGACAAAAACCTTGGAACTGTTTTAAGCTGCACATTTCACAAAAAGGAAAATGAAAGTCAAGTGGCTGAAAAATTTAAAGGACTATCTGTAATTATACCTAGTTTTGTTCACCTGAAGCCTAAAGAAGTTTCCAAAAAAATTGCAAACTCAGTGCAGGGATACAAACAGTAAAGGAGACATGTTACACCACATCTCAAAAAAAAAGTATGACAATCAAAAAGGAAATGGATTTGTAATGCAATAAAACTACAGTATCTACTCAATTCTAAATGCAACATCATTATTTTGAAGGGGAGAGAGATAGTAGGAACTGCCAATGCTGGAGAATCAGAGATAACAAGGTGTAGAGCTGGATGAACACAGCAGGCCAAACTGCATCAGGAGCAGGAAAACAGATGTTTCGGGTCTGGACCCTTCTTCAGAAGCCTTTTTTTAAATCATAATTTTGAATTCCTGATTGGAGTCAAAGTGCCCTTGCCACCTAGTTTTCTGGAAACTATGATGCTAATTACAATTTTTCCAAAACACATTTAAAAGTAGCCATAAAGTACTTATAAAAAAAAAAAAAAATTTTTTTTCACCCAAGCCACCATAAGGTAAAAAAGTTGGCTCAGTAACAGCCTCTGAAGTTTCTGCATATACAAATCTCAGAAAGGCATGAGACTCATCACAACCAACAATCCTCCATGAATGACATTGTCCACTGTACAAAAATTGTACCACAGTCTAACCAAGAGCAAAAAAAGGATGTAAATCCTACCTTCCTAAATCTTGATGCTGGGACCACTAGCAGTACAATCACACAAAAAGCCCCCGCATCTGGAGTGTTTTCCTTCATTCAGATACCACCCAGAGTTGGCCACCCTGCAAAGATATTAAGAATTACCTCCAAAAAAGTGGCAGTCAGGCACATCCCTCTCAAATGGTTTACAGTTCACCCTTGCATAATGGGACATCAGAGGTCATTATGACCAGCCATAGCTTTCCTTCTGCATCAGTTAAGCTGCTCTAGTTCTTGTAAATGATTACTATTTTAGCTGAGTTGAGAACAGCTTTCATCAAGAGCCAAGAGATACAAAGTGCAAGGCTGTAAAATCCTTGTAGGGTACCATAAAACTTAAAAACAGTGCAATTTAAATCTCAAACAATTTGCATTGTATGACACATGACATTGAAGAAATCAACCCTCCCCCCAAAACAAAAAAGGGATATAAAGACTGACATCTTTTCATAGGATTCCTAAGCAAACAGTAAATCAGCCAACACTAGTCACAGCATAAATGACACTTTTGTAGCAGGTCAATTCTGCACATATACCATCTTTCAGAATTACATGTTAAATTTAGCCAGCAGTGCTGTACAACCATCAAGAATCCCAGTAGAAGCATAGTTTTACGTGCATACCTTTCCACCTGGAGTGTATGCCAACATGGTTGATCTTCAATTTGCAAACTCCTGAACCAAGCCATTAGTAGGTAGACAAAAACATGCTTGACGGAACAAAATGCCACATCAGCGAATAAAAGTAAACATTTTAAAAAGCTATTTAAGATTTTCTGCAATGTTTAAAACAAAAAGATACTTTACTTAACTACACGTCCTCAGCTTTTCAACATAATCATAGAAAATCATGATGTGAACAGCAGTGAAAATGTTCTAATCATTGGACATGCATATTCATCTTAACCATTTACTTTTGCCAAAAAAATTGCAAGTGCAAAAGCAGAAATTACAGATGACAAAATAGAAATTTTAAACATGTTCAGCTGGGTGGCAGTAATTATAGCTTTAGTCGTCAGACAAATATACAATAAAAGGAAAGCACTCATTAAGAGTGGAGCACACCGTTAAGTAAAATCCCATTTACTTCCATTCAGGGGAAGTGCACAAGGATGATGCAACCTAAAGCACATTCAGATGAATCTTAAAAATAGAAGTGAGACTGTCATAACCACAACCATGGGGGGGCGGGGGCACAATTCAGAATTCGCAGTCACCCTTTTAATCCATATTGGTTTGTCTAGTCTGTAAACTGCAGAATTCACCGTACCTTTACAGCATGTCGTAACCACAGAAAACTCTGTACGAACAAGATTCACCCAGACCTAGTCAAGACATCCATCGTCAATCTTAAAAATAAAAATGAGAATGTCAATTTAGAACAAGTAACTTCTGTTAATATACAAGAAAGGATATTCTATTATCAGGAAACCCTCATATTTGCAGGACAGGTAGTCTTCTCCTTTCAAGAAAGGATAACTAAAATTATGTGATCATACTTTAATCACAGAGTAACCTGAATGTTTTCTGTTGAGCCTATCTACTGGAGATGCATTTAACAACCTACTGTAGATCCACATATAGAATCAGATTGTTTTTGTCTCCAAAACTGTTGTTTTGTGACATTACAAGAAAATGGTCAACACATACCTGGTGCATTTACACAGCCCAGATTGTTCCACAGCTTTACTGTTTTGTCATGTCAGCCAGATACAAGTTACCTGCAGAGAAGGCAATGTTCACATTTAAAAACATGACCAACAAAATAAAATCCACTATTTACAAAGAAAGCCAGAAATTAACCTAGTTTGGGAGTGGCAGAGTGGTTTGCACTGCTACCAGAGCACCAGGGACCCGGGTTCAATTCCACCCTCGGTGACTGTGTGGAGTTTGCACATTCTCCCACTGTCTGTGTGGGTTTCCTCTGGGTGCTCCGATTTCCTCTCTGATGAGTCTGGGCGGGATGCTCCAAGGGTCAGTGTGGGCTTTTTGGGCCAAAGGGCTTGTTTCCACACTGTAGGGATTCTATGAAATTCAAGACAGCAAATACAGCTGATTGCAAGAAATGTCTGAAATCTTGTCTTTTGCCTTTTCATGGTGGGTTGGGAAAACAAAGGAGGGTGGAAGGAATGCATGGATGCCAGAAGCAAATCAGCTCAAGTAAAGGGACAGTCAGTACAGTTTTCACTTGAAATAGGTGGCATTTTGGTAGCATTTACATAACATCACCCTCTTCCTAACTCCGCAATTCATAACAGACCAGCATCTGATCAAAAACATAATATACATAGCAAGCCAAAACAAGTTTGTTACTATTTTGTGGGTTTGAGTATTTGTGCAGTAGATTAGGATTCTACACATCCTCTAGTTACATACACTTCGAAAAAAAACAATTGCTAAAGTCTATCATGTGACATTCAGGAACTACCCAAGCTTGTATTGAGATCTTACCAATTGAGTACCACCCATGATCCAGACATCCATCAGAGGACCACATCACTGAAAGAGTGTGTTACGGGATGTAGCATTCCGAGGAAAATCATGATTTCTCTCATTCCTGAGAATTTTTAAAAAAAAAACACAGGTTTTAGCTGTTTCAGAAGAGAACAGATTGTTATATATTTGAAGACTATTAAACATTATTTAGCACAAAGCAAAAAAGCTCAAGTTCTGAATCACAACACTTGATCTGGCATGACATTACACTCAAAACAGGACCAGGTCCATCAATTTTTATTATCAGGCTGTCACCAATAAAAATGCTGGTAAAGTCAGCAGTTACTAACCAGCTCTAGCGACCTTCATTAACCACAGTCTGTGTAGCACTGGCACTCCTGAACTGCAATTAGGAAATAATGTACAATTTTAGTCCGTTTACTAGAGAATGAAACAGTAACTGACAAGGTGGATACTAAAAAGGATATTTCCACTTGTGCCAAAGGTTAGAACTAAGACACAAAGATAGCATTTCACTCATTTGTATCTTCTAGATAGTGAAAGGCTTGGGAGGGCTGGGATGAAAGTTATACTGGTCTAGTTAAATTGCTGATAAGTGATCAAGCTCAGGATATTGACGGCAGTGGAAGTGAGCTACAGTTTGTCAGTTGGATGCCAATGCTGTACTTGTAGCAGAAAAGCATTGTTAAAGGTTTAGCTCATTGTCCAATTCTGTCATGAATAAATTCATCTGCCAACTAGTGGATCAATGAGGCCAAATTCAAGTGGGCTGTTCCTCATGTTGTGTTGTCCCTATGTGCAACAGATCCAGTTTGATAGCTATGATTCTTTAGATAGTTGTTTCACACTTAGTATTGCAGCCACAGAACACACTGCATCTGTCCTCACTACATTTAGAACTTATTCCAAGTTACACAAAGGGAAAAACCTATTCATCACGTCAGCAAACAGACTTCCTTGCCAATCTCTGAATTTTTATTCTTATATGGGATGTTGCCACTGTGGTCAAAATTTAAATTTGTTGCCCATTCTTAGGTTGCCCTTGAACTAAATCAGCTCTCTAGGTCATTTTAGATGGCAGTTAAGAGTCAACCACAATACAGTGGTTCTAGAGACATGGGCCAGACCAGCTAAAGAAAAGCCTTCCTCTTTACACGTGTATGCGTGGGGGAGTGGGCTTAGTAAACCAGGTGGGCTTTCACAATAGTGGTTATATAATCACCATTAATCAAGATTTTCAACTTCGCTATCTTCCATTGTGGGATTCAAATCTGTAGCCCCATAACACTGCAAGTAATCCGATCTTACTGGACCTCACGGGATAGGTCTTCTGACACCTAGGGTAATCACTCTATTTCAATAAATTTCAGACAGTGCTGGTGCCTTGCTACAAAGTGACTTGTTCTGCCCACCGCACGGTTGTCGAGTCAACCTCAAGAACAAATGAGCTGGATGTGTGCTATGAACAATCCAGGAGATCTCAACAGTAGGGAGGGGTAGGGGAGCCAATAATTCCAGATCTATCAGACAACTGATGTAAACTCAACCAGAGATGGCAAGAACTGCAGATGCTGGAGTCAGAGATAACAAAGTGTGGAGCAGAAAGGAAGGGTCCCAACCCGAAACGTCAGCTTTCCTGCTCCTCTTATGTTGCCTGGCCTGCTATGTCCATCCCCACCACCGCCACCGCTCCACACTGTGTTAAAGTCAACCTCCGCCAGGTTCGAATGCAAGAAAATCCCTAAACAGCCTGACGAGGTGAAGAGAAGTCAGTCATTGCTAGCCCAGGCAAGGGATGGGTAGTTCCTCTTCCACCCTCGGGGCTCCTGTGGAGATCCTGCCTGCTGCCTGCAGAGGGCGGCAAAGGGCCGCTCCACCACGTGGGCCCCTGGCGCGCGGGCCGGGACAACCCTCAGGCCGCACTGCAGCCCCACACTCTCCCTCCCCACCGCCCCCCGACAGACGCACACCCCCACACTCTCCCTCCCCACCCCGACACACGCACACCCCCACACTCTCCCACCCCCACCGCCACCCCCACCACACACACACACCCCCTCTTGCCCCCCAAACCCGGATCCACACACACTCCCCACCCCCGGGGGGGCGACCCACAGCTACATCTCTCTCTGTGTCTCCTGGCCCGGCCCCGGATCCACAAACTCCGGCCTCCCCCCCCCGGGCCGGGGCCTCTTCCCCCCCCCCGATACAGCGGGACCATCGACTCCACCGACCGTGCCCCCGGGGGCTGGCTACCCCGGGACACCGGGCGGGCGAGCTTCCTTCCGCCCCCCCAACAAGAACCGGACGATGTTCAGACCTTTGCTCCGGCTCTCAGGTCCCGGCGGGGAAAAGGGAAGAGCCGCCTCTGCCCCTGCCCAATATAAGCGGGAGGCGGGAGGCGGGGGGCGGGCTTTCAGAGGCTGATGGACAGCCCCAGCTCCTTCCCCCTTCCTGCAGTAAATGCGCGGGAAGCTGTTCTGCTAAATCAAAACCAACATTCACCTAATAACAAAATCTTGCTCACTGTTATTACAGACAAATAATTTGAAACGTTTACTTTGCCGAGCAATTTCCGCATTTCCTGGAAATGGAAGCAAGTTAGTCAATTTAAAATCATAAAATGGTTACGGCACACAATGCTACCTTTTGGCCTACCGCGTCTGTGCTAGCTGCAACAGTAAATCAGCTAATTCCGGTTACCTGCCGTACGAATTATTCTCTAAACATAATTATTTTGATCAAAGCCACAATTGACTCTGCACCATCAAGATATCCTGCAGGGGCAGACCTTAACTTTCTGCAAAACAAAAACAGGAAGTGCTGCACCTCTCCCCTCACCTCCCATCCAAGGAACCAAAAAAACCTTCCACAGCAGACAGGGGTTAACCTGCACATCTGCTAATGTGGTCTATTGCATCTGCTGCTCTCGATGTGGTCCCTTCTACATTGGTGAGACCAAGCAGAGGCTCGGAGACCACTTTGTAGAGCACCTGCGCTCTATAGACACCTAGGGCTTCAGGTACATAGTTTTTTCAAGTCTGCATCACATATAGATAGGTTGGCTAAGAAGGTGTTCAGCACACTTGCCTACTTTGCTTGGATTTTTTGAGTATAGGAGCTGGGATGTCATGTAGAGGTTGTACAGGATGTTAGTGAGGCCTCTTCTGGAGTACTGTATCCAGTCCTGGTCACCCTGTTATAGGAAGGATATTATTAAGCCGGAGAGGATTCAGATGAGATTTACCAGGTACTTTTTTCACTGAGGTGTAGGAGGTTGCGAGATGACCTAATAGAGATTTATAAAATAATGAGGGGTATAGATAAGGTGAATTGCAGGTGTCTGTTCCCTATGGTGGTGGTTTTCAAGGCTAGGAAGCATATTTTAAAGGTGAGAGGAGAAAATAAAGACATGAAGGGCAATATTTTTTTTACACAGAGAGACGTTCGTGTGTGGAATGAACCTTCAGAGGAAGTGGTCGATGCAGGTACAGTTACAATGTTTAAAAGTCATTTGGATAAGTATATGAATAAGAAATGTTTGGAGAGATATGGGACAAGTGCAGGCAGGTAGGACTAATTTAGTTTGGGATTATGGTCGGCATTGTCTGGTTGGACTGAAGGGTCTGTTTCCATGCTGTACAATTCTATAAATGTTGTAATTATACCCACCATCATCACTTTCTTTGACAGCTCATTCCATACACACACCATGCTCTGCATGAAAAAATTATCCCTCAGGTCCTTTTTGCATCTTTCCCCTCTCACTTTATACCTTTAGCTTTGGACTCCCCCACACTAGGGAAAATCGGGTACCTGTTTGGACTCCCCCACCCTTGGGCATCCCCCACCATCCATGCCCTCATGATTTAATAAATCTCTATAAGGTCACCCCTCAGCCTCCAATGCTCCAGGGAAAAAAGTGCCAGCATATTTAGCCTCTCTCTATAACTCAAACCGTCTGCAACATACTTGTCAATCAAGTTTAATAATATTTGTTTTATACTTTATGCAATGTCAACTTTGAACAATCATGTAATGCATTTTTATATATTTTATGAAAAAGTACATTTTTGGAAATAAAAACATGCATTTCCCAGTAAGCGACTTGCTATATTTCAAGGTTCACCATTGAACCTAAGCAGGATGAAGATAAATGCAATGATTTATAAATCATGCAGTCTGCAATTCACAAGCAAGAAAATTAAATTGTTGGAGACAAAACCTGTGAAAATTGAATAAGCTGAATAAGAGATGGAGATGGGGAGAAACACAACCCTGGATCATTCAATTTATTCAAGACCGAGTTAGATAGATTTTTGATAGACAAGGGTAGTAAGGTCTACATTCCATCTAATGTCTTCAGCTGCTGTGGACTGGGCATGTCAGTCGCTGGAGAAACTGGAAGTGACTGCGTCAGCACAGCAGTATGTATGGACCTTCAGAGAGGGTATGTTGATAAGGACTATGAGACAAAGGAAGGGAAGTGGAGTTGAGACCAGAACTCCTATGAGCTTATCCAATGTGGAGTAGGCTCAAGGGGCTAAAGGGCCTATTCCCACTCCTAATTCCTGTGTTCCTGTGTTCCTATGAAGACATGTCCTGGTCATAACTTCAAATGTGAATGGTCATAACTTCAAATCTGAATGGTCATAACTTCAAATGTAGATGCTCTGTTTTTGTAGAAATTTCAGAACTGTTTTTATACTTGAAGTTGGAGAACTGGTGAATTGTTAAAATGGTTGCCGAGGGTCAGGTGACCTTTACTTATTCAACACAGCTCCTGGAAAGTTCTGAATTGATTCATAGCGGGAAGCTCCCTTTGGCTTGGACAATCAAATTCACACCAGGCATTTTTTTTAACTGTTTACTCAAAATGGTCTCCTGGAGTCAATGAGCTCTTAGACTAAAAGGAGATGATTTCCCCTCTCTGAGGTGGTGAAAGTAATGGCAAATGTGATGACTTAATTGGATGAGAGTCCAAAGATCAGATTCCTGCCATTAAGAAAAATTCCTACAATTAAGTGCTCCCTTATTTGTATCAAATTCTCACCATCAATTAGCTAGGAACCTGTTAGCTTGCACTTGTATCTAATTAATTACACAACTGATTGGAATAAATTTCTGCTTCTCAAGTTATTTCTCTGTGGTTGAAAAAGCTGAAGCTTCAAACACTCAACAGAAAACGGAAGCAGGTAACTGTAAAGTTTGATCCTGAGTCACTTCCTTTTCTTAACTTTACATGGAACCATTTCAACTACACCAGGTTACTGCAGAGTCAATGTCAAAGGTCACCCTGGACCCTCTATCCACACAACTGGGCAACTGCATTGCAGCAGCCTCAGAATATCAGGTTCCAGACTCCGGGATCACTTGTTGACTTTGAGATGGCTTCTCTTAGCAGGTTCAGGCATCACTTGTTGATTTAGTGGTAGTTTTGGCAGACATGGACAGTCAGCAACTTCTGCCTTTGTGAGCTATATAGTGCAAATGAACGAGCAGGAAGCTCATGGCTTACTGAAAGTTGTTTTGTGCAGAGGGAGGGACAGGAAGCTTGTTGTTGAAAGGAAGCAGTGAACAGTACATGTAAATGTCCTATAGGGAGCGGACACGTCATTGGTGCAGAAAATGACAGCAGCAAACATGGCAGCACGCAGCCTGTGTTTGAAGAGAATGGTGATGTGAGAGAGTCTCTTGGGGGTAGAACGTGGACTCCAGTCAGTCAAGGATACCACCACAGTCTGTCTGGAGCCAGGGCCATGTACCCTCTAAGGGGTTGGCCACGATAAGTCAGAAGGTTGTTGCAACTCAAGTCTGAGGATCCATACCAATGCAGTTTGGGAATTGGGCCAAAAATAAAAAAAAAAGTTTTCTAAAAAAAGTAACAAAATAAAAATAAGAAATAAAGCCAGCCTAGGCCTTGCAAGTTAGTCAGTTGGGCTGCCATGGAGTGGGCTGCAGGCATTCAAAACTGTGCTATGAAGCCAGACTGGGGATCAGGCCACAGTCAGTCAGCGCAGGGTGGGGAATGTGGATTACAGATAATCCAGGAGCTTTTAAGGACATCATTCTGACTGCGGGCTGCTCACATCTGGGGATTGGACTCATTATATTCAATTGCTGAGGGAATGTTCACAGTGATGGGAACAATTGCAGAGTAGTCTGGGACTTAGAAGAGTAGATGGCAAGTCGTGGTCATTCTGGCTTTGCTATGAAGAGGGTGCAAGACTCACAACGGTATAGGAAACACGAGAGCCATGTGCTGTGAGGGTACAGAAGGAACAATAAAGTAAAGGGCCCAACTGAAATGGAGAAGGGTCAAAGGTCATTGATGTCAGAGGGATGGCAATGGCAAAGGGGACATGAAGAAAAGGAGTGAAATCTTTGTGAACTCACACAAATGCAAAGTTGGAACTTCACCCCATTGATCAAAAATAAACTGCACAGGTTGTGAAACGAGAATAAACCACTTGTAAAGTGGAAAAAGTGAAAGCTTTTCAATTTTGAAGGGTGGTGTGCAGTGTAGGAATATGAGGCCTCCTAAGGAACACCATGTACTATTGGTCATCAGCCATGCCTGGTGCATGAGGAAGGGTCACTGGACCCGAAACGTTAACTCTAATTTTTCTTCACAGATGCTGCCAGACCTGCTGAGCTTTTCCAACAACTTCTGCTTTTATGTCTGGTGCAATGCAGGTTTTGTTGCATTTACAGAAATGATCTCAATTTCTCCACTTTTGTCAATTACCATTGCATAAACTACCCACAAGCATTCGTGAGGAAAGTTGTGAACTTTTCTCACGTACTGAAAGTTGCCAAGATTGTGAATTCATTTTGAGTAAGAATCCTTCTGAACTGCTTGTTTAAATCCTTATTTGACATTTCGATGCTGCCTATGGTGATCTAAGCCTCCAGGCCAACGTGATATGGTTAAGATGAGGGGAGATTCTGCAAAGGTGTTAGATCTGATGCCTGAAGTTGTCACTTTTCTCAAATCAAGGAAAGTTGTGTTCAGTGAAGTATCAAACTTTACGCGGTTGCTGAACTTTAGGCTCCTTACAGACAGGATGTGAAAATTGAATGAATGAATTGTAGCGGGAGGATAGAGACGTAGTACAAATAGTCAGTGCTGTGAAAACATTTAAATTGCAACTGGGTCTGCGATCCTTTCAACTTTGAAAATAATGCTGCAACATTTCCCAAGTCTGGAGAAAATATTTTACAAAAATCAGTGATTAAAAAAAATGGTTTCACCCAGAAATTTTCTGTGCACAACCAGGGAAGTCAGCAGGTGACTTCAGGAATTTGTGTTATGGAACAAATAATCAAGTTTACCTCAAATTCATTCCTTCAGTAGACATTGGTGGGTTGACTACCAAATTCGGTCAGGTGCTCAATTCACAAGGCAGTAGAATTAATACGGAGAAAATTATAAAATGATATTTATAAAATTACAAAATTATATTGAGCTAAAAGTCAGATCAAAGGACAATGATTTTTGGCCATTTGAAAACAGAGAAAATACATACTCTTAACATTGTGCTTTTAAAGTGAAAGTTTATTTTGACTCTACAAACCTCTGAGATAGCGTTCTCCCAAATTACAATGATCAAATTCAAGTATCTCACCTACCTCACAGATAGCCATTTGATAGACTGTATGTGACTAGCAGACTCAAACCATAACCCTGAATCTAAGTAAAGGAAACAAAATGGTATGAAGTTTGAGCTGGCTATGATGAATTGGAAACCTTACTTAAAAAGGATGATGTTGGACAGGCAGTGGCAAACATTTAAAGAGTGCCTAGAGGAATTGCATCAACTGTTCGGCTCACAAATTAAACAGGAAAGATGGCCTGACTATGGCTAACAAATAAATTAAATAGGAACAAAAGGTAACAAAGCCGGGTAGCCACATAGAAAGTGATCACTAGATGTGGCAAGAAAGGACGTAACGTGCAAATTTAAAAGTGCAGCAGAAGGTATGGCGAGAGCTTGCAAGAACGATAAAAAGATTCAAGTAAAATTCTGCATCTGAATACATTGCAGCATTCATAAAAATTGTGGTTGAATCAATAGCATAAACAAATAAATATGTACAATATAATAGCCATTTCAATTATATATTTGCATGGTGACCAAGGTTGGGTCCTAAATATTCAAGGGCATTTGATATTTCAGCACGATAGCTAGGAAAACGTAATGGGGTAAATCTGTTAATTAAGCGTGAAAGCAGTGTGAATGGTGGAGCAGGATCAAGGGGCTGAATGGCCTGCTCTGGTTTCTAATTTGTGTCTTAAATATGAAATTTTGTCATGTGAAAAGTTGTTTTCCTTCTGTACTCCTTTTTCCTTAGGTTACAGTGGAATATATTTATACAGCAGTGACCATCAATACTTTACCTAAATATCCATTTAAGTCTATGTAGTGAAATATGGTATCATAGCCCAGACTAACCACACTTGATCCATTATTCATATGCACCGTATACGTTATAATTCATGAGACAGAAATCAGCAACAGGAACCTGAACCAATAGTTTCAATTGCCAAGATCTTCCAGTCAGCGACAGTGTGGAAGCAAGTGTGTTGACGTGGTTGAAACTGCCACTTACCTTTTTATGCTGGAACCTTTGGATTGTCCTATCGTGACTTCAGCCTGAATCCTGCAGTGAAGCTATAGTTGCATTTTCATCATAAACTGACGTATGCCTCTAATGCTCGTCTTCACCTCATTATTTTCAGTTTTTAAGACAGATCTGTCTTTAAGTCACATGCCCGCCTCCCCCCACACCATGATCCTGCACCCAGCCAACACATCCCTCCCCATGCCAAAGCCTGTTACAGGGAATTTGCACGGGAATTTGCCAGACCAAGGAGCTACTGAATCCAGAGTGTGAAATGGTGAGGTGGTGTGCAAGGTGAGAGGAGTAAGACTGGGGAGACTAGGCCTGTGGTTAACAACAGGAGTATCATGGTGCAAATTTGTGTGTATTTCTATGAATCCAAGGTTATGGTCAGTGACAGAAAATTTCTTAGAGAGGCTCAATGACATAATTCTGTCCATTAGAAATTTAAGTTTCCCATGATACACAGGTCAGGATTTCCTCAAGGAATTAATTTGCAACCAATCAGAAGATCTAAGCCAAAGTAATTCAACTACCTTCACTAACAGAATGCAGGCAAGTGAATGAACCCATCAAATTCCTGATCCATATGCTTTTTCATGAGGTAATCAAGGGAGCCAACAAGATGGAGATTATTTATGGTAAATAACTTAAATATTTTTTCTAATTGTTGAGATTGGATCTTTACAATAATTACAGAGACAAATTTTATATCCCAGATGTTAGTTGCTTTTAAATTCAGCTACAGTAGTGGGATTTAACCTGCAGAATATTAAGCAGGACCTCTGGATTACTAAAGCATCATTGAGTTAGTTCACAAACTATACAATTTACTATTTTTATAAAACTCACTGTAAGCACTGTTCACAGCGCTACTGGTTCAAGACATGGTAGGAGAAGGTGCAGACAAGCTGGACCCAAAAGCTGTGTACAAGTGGAAATTCAGCTAGTAACAAGTAACTAACTGATCTGTGGACTAATAATCACTTATTGATGACAATGGCCTTCTGCCTGCCTGTATTATGATTGATCTCAGGTAGCTGAATGAGACAGTGAGAAGATTTCAGAACTCCAAATGCTTAGGAGCTCTCTCTGTTGTCTACAGTAAAAGACATTTTAAGCTGGAGGAAAACTAACTTTTACGTTCAGCAATTGTAGTACGTTGTGAAGTGATAAGATAGAGACCTTTTTAAGTGTCACCCTGTGCCTCTGATCAGCAAAGCCTATTGACCATGGACTACTGAACTGCTCTTCCAGGTTTTCCCTCCATCCATAATACACACACATGCAAAAGAAAACATAGGTTGGTGAGATTTTTATAAGGAGGGTACAGAGTTTTAATATGTAGAATTATATACCAACAGTTAGTAATTGTTACCCATAGCTTGATTATGTTTACTCATAATAATAGTCATTCCTGTCAAGCACAGAAACCTGGTCTATGCTTTCTGCCAACCTGATTTCTTGGAAGACTGAGAGAAAGGACCTTTGATGGTCACTGGAAATTACAACTCTGAAACAAACGAACCATATGGAAACTGGGAAGAAAACTTGGGACTTTTTCCTCTGAAGACTGCAACTCTGCAGGGAGTGTGCTGCAAAGCACAAGTGCAGTATGGAATTTTAAATTATTAAATTTTCAACTTAAAATGCGAGTAAAGGATATTCCAGAAGTGCGTCACATATTGGTTGTATAAGGGGTAATGGTTTTCTTCTCAGTTAGCATCAAGTTATGAAAGTTTCTGTTTCACAAGGATCTTTCTTACTTTACAGCAGGGAAGCTCAATTCAACTGAGGCATGGGTCTTTAGAGATTGCAATATTCTTCAGTTTAAAATATTGTACAATGCATGCCACAACATGCACTAGTTGCCCTTTAAGTCACTGCTGAGAAGGCTATACGCAGGTTATTCTTCTAGTCATCTGGAGACAAGCTAGAAATTTGCCATAAAAAAGTACTCTCTGGAAATTAGAGCAAGTTTGTCACCATCTGTGATAATAAAAATCAGTTCCATATTTTAAAATTTTCTTCTCAATTGCCTCTTGCATATTATGTCTGTCCTTTATCCAATCATTCTAAATTGTGGAGACTAAAAAATTCAGTATTAAATGGCAAGGTTCCAAAACACAGTCTTTGACATATTGCTAAAATCAAAATAAATGAGCAATAAAACAAGTGGCCAGTTACACTTTTATTATAAATGCAGCAATTTTTATATAAAATTGGCATAAGTACATTACAAAAATCAGTTTCTAATAAACAGATACAATTGAAATTAACACAAAGCTTCAGAAAGTGAAAAATCATCAAGTACCTATTCACCCAATGAACCTTACAACAGGTGCTTAGCACCAGCAACACATTTTGATTCAGATTTATTCTGACCATAGTACATTTTTTCAGCTGAGATACTGAAATCCTATTAATAGCATACTGATTGTGTGGCTGTTGCTTTAAAAGCACATGCCATTATGGTTAAATGATTTGACATTAATCAAATTGATCCAATCTTGATTTCTCTCCAAAAGTTACCAACGTCAAGAAAAGCAAAAATCGAAAATGCTGCAGATCTCTTGAGAGTGGTCACAGTGGTCAGTAAGTGTGTGACGGTTAACATGGTGATGATTCCCTTCAAGTGAGAGGAATAATGAACATTGTGGAGGATAAAGAATTAGAAATCCCGTGGTTGGGTGGTTACAATGTATTTATTCTCCACAGAAATTTGTGCTGAACAAATGTGACATTCACAGATTATCAAGCAATGCAGCAGTCAGAAATCTTTCTGATGGCAGCTGCGATTAAATAGATCAGTTTCAGTATACTACATTATATGTAACAAGGTTTGTTAATCCACAAAGCAGCAGTGGGAAAGCAACACAAATGAAAATGTAATGGTCTACGTTTTGTTTTGCCATTATCAATCTGAAGCACAGATACCTTTTTACAGTTAGCAGCACCAGAGCACTGCAAACTCATACTCTGTCATAAGCACACCAAGTGTGCTTAACAAATGCAAATTTTCACCCCTAACCGTAAATTTCAAATATTATAGAACAGAAATTAGAACATCCAGTTTCTCAGAACATAATGAAGTGAAGTTAGTTTTCCTTAAAGTTCAGAGGAGGACAAACAGCTTGGCATCAGTGCCAGAACAGTGTCAAGTTCAAGCGGTGGGAGATAACCCCAATGTAGAGCAATTGAAAATTCTTTGTTGCTCCACAGTCAGACTGTGACCTAGTGTCATAGAAATAGTCACTTTTACAGTGCTGTGCATTGGAAGCAACATAGAAGTGACTAGATAACCTTTAAAAAGAAACATTAAGATTGATTAAATGTTCTTCTGTCCTTTAATGATATCAGAAAGTTGTGCAATATAACGTCTCCTCCATAAATTTATTTTATTGAAATACTTCACACACCAGTCTTTTGATACCCCTCCCTCGCAGTGCAACTAGTAACACTATCATGATTTAATCAGATTTGTTAGGACAGTAAGCAAATCCAGTCAATACTTCTAAAAAAAACTCAAATCATATTACGGAATAATTTTTGTTAACGTGATTTACAGTCTGGTGTACCTAAAAGGTCAATAGTCACTAAAAGGAGACAGGGCATAGTTATAGGTGTAGGATGAGGAAAAAGGTTTCGATTTCTGATCTATTATCAATGAAATTCACAACAGGACCACAAAGTAAGATTTTTTTTTCCCCCATGTTTGGAGACCTTGAACTAGCAACATTTGCATGACTTTTGAAGCAGTGTTTACTATAAAAGGAACAATATCCTTCCACCACATGCTTCTGCCCCATGTACCAATCATGGTTAACCACTTCCTAAGTCTTTGCCAATGCCATTCTGAATTAGCTGTTGCAAGGCATTCAAGAACTTGCTGCTCCTCTTCTCCTCGGGGGATAGGCAGGAAGAGAGTGGTGCTTGGTGTTTTATTACAATACTGAAGGCTGAAGCACAAATCTGTATCTTGTACACAGTGCCTATTTTGGATTTTCTTTTTGAAAAAGAGGCCCAGAAATAACTGTCAGTGGAGCTAAATAGTAGACAAGTTTAACAAACTGCTTCAGACAGGGTAGAATGAAAGTCAAATCTCAGTTACTTTATGATTCACAGAAAGCTGAATGACATCTGTAAAAGAAAACTGTCAAAACCTCGCTTCTCACGTACATCAAGTTGTTTGACTGTTCCTTTGGCTAGAAAGGAATGTGCACAGACCAAAAGAATGACAGAAAATTCAAAGACAAAGTAAAAAGGTTAAACCAGATAACATCTTCTCCAATCTTTCTTTTGGGAAATTATGACATTTTTTATTCCCCTGGATCATGCACAGATTGCAAGTACTAGGGTTACCTGCACATTGTGTCACAACAGAATGACACCAGTCAGTTGGTAGAAATTGCCCAGGTGCAGGTAGAGGATGTTCTGTGGGGCCAGAAATACAGCTGGGAAATTGAAACTTAGATCAGAGAATGAAGAATACATACCCACCAGTTGATTGTACCACAGACTACTTATTCCAATGTGTTGCACCATTCCACCCACTGCAAAAAAAAAAAACACGTCTAGTCTTTAGAAGAAGTTTCTTCCATTAAAGGTTACAGGCTGGTGTTTTAGCATATATACTTTAAAGTTAATTTTTAAAATATTAATTATCTTGGTGTTGTTATTTAAGCACTCGTTCTTAATTGATCTCAAAGTCAATACCCAATCAAATACTTTAAGACAGACCCTTTACCATCATAACAAGCTGTTACAATGCTCTTCAGAAGTAATTCCTGAAATGGAGGGTTAACAGACTACTTCATTTCTTGAACCTGTCTAGCTGGGAAAATGACAGTAGTCAATAAACTGTACTGAGAATCATGCATTTTGTCATGTCTAATCTCCTCAAGCAGTGAATAGTTATAGCACAAATACATTTGAGAAAGTTATATTACTAGCATCACAGACAGTACCGAGAACAAATATTGCTTTACATTTTAACTTGAAAACGTATATCCTGAAGTATTTGTTTGAAATATCCAAACGTGATGGTTGTTTTCTGAAGTGCTTACTCGAATTATCCAGTCAAGGATTGATGCCCATTTATCTGGCTGTCAGTTTATGCTGTCACAGGGTATTTAAATCACTAATACAAAAATACAAACAGTATTACCTTAAGTTTTACATCTTTCATAGGCTTCCCAGTTTGCATGAAATACAAGTCTGAACAAATGGATTTAACATAAATAAAAGTATACTTCTGCTTTCAAAGGTGACATAGAAGGCAATTAATTAATTTAATATTTGGGTTGTTACAAAAAGCTTCTGGCATTGTATTTGATTAGCGTGAAGAAATTTTTTTGTTACATAAAATGAAGTACAGAAGACACCAGAAAGATATGGAAACTGCACCTTCAAATTAAAACCAGTAAAACACCCACAGCAATATCCACACTATTTTCACAATCTACACACGTAAATCTGAATTCCATTCAGATAACCAAAAGTATTTTTGTGTACAATATTTAAATATACATAATACAGCTGCAGAAACTAAATAAACAGAATATATACAAATTTGTATAGCATTTCAATTCCTGGTACAGTAGAGAAAGACAATACTTTCTCCCCTCTTGAAACCTGATAAAGTACAAGCTTGAGAAACCACTTATCCATTAATATACATTTTATACACCATTACTCAGAATAATTAATCTAAGGCAGGTATAGACTGTAATTAGCATCAAATACCCTGTTCTAACATTCTGTAAAAATACCTTTTAAAAACATCCTTGTCGTTCTGTATGTTAACAGACTATTCCTCAAGTTATATGAAAATAGCAGTAATTAACAAAAAGATTCTGTGAAGATTAGGACACTGTACACTGCTGGTACCAAATTTCACGAAGTTGACTACTAATTTGATTCAAACAGGCAAACCCGCAACATGTCTTTCTACAGCAGAATTATGTAGTAATTCTTTAGAAAACATTTTTTAAAAAAATGTCAAATTAAAACAAGGGAAATGATCAGTTTTGCCTACACTTTTCAAAAATAGTTTTAAGATTAAAAAAGGTGTGCCTTGAATTTTTGCATATTGCACTGTCATTGTAAATGGAAATTCTGACATGTTCAAAGAGAAGCACTCACTTTCAGGCTCTTACCTCCATTCGTTAATCATTGAAATGGTTATAGGAACTTTATTCAACAGAGCACACTTTAGAAAAAGGATGTGCAAATATGCTTTTACATAAAAAAATTACCCTAAAAATTGTTTTTTTCCACAATGTTAGGTGACCCTTGTGGGACAAGATTATGTTTCTCTCGACTTTTTTGTAAAGATAAAAGATCACTGTTCTAGCATTTTCTCCCCTTTTCCTGACCTCTGTTCATAATGGAGAATTTGTTTCTGGGCCTCTGCCAATACTATTTGTAAAAATCCAGGGACAGCTCTTTACTGTTCTCCTCTTTGACAGGCAAGTGCCTGTGCCTCGATGTGGCAGCTCCCCATCGCACTATTGGCCATAATAGAAAAGTGTGAGGGTGTGATGTGGTGGTGAGTGGAAGGGGGGGTTTGGCGAGCAAAGGAGACACATATACACAGACAACCTACTCCACAGTGCCAGCATATGATCTTAAATAGCAGTTTCATTCAGAGGTCTACAAAATGGTGATGGTGAAAATCAATGTTAATCGGTTATACCTACATACGTGAATTCTGCAATGTCCGATATAGGGCAAAGCCTTCAGTTGATCAAAGTGTGATAAAGCACCATTGCAGTCCATTCATTACTAGCACACAGTAAGTTACAGATTTTCAAAGTGCTGTGGACCAAGTGACTTAATTATTGATGATGCATCTCATTAGGCGAGACACACACATTTACATTAACACGAAAAATATATGTAATGCAAAAGCTTTTCAGCCACACAAAATCTTATTTCCATCCTCAGGTTCTTTTACATTTTTAATTGTCATTGTCAAAAACTTGACCCTCAAAATGCTCTTGGCAAGCAATTTCTGAGGGTATCTTTAATTGTAGGTAGAGTACTCAGATCTTCCACTGTCAAATCCAGAGACAGAACGTACCACAAGCTAACAGAAACTTTTCACTGAGGGGTCAGAATGCCCAAAGTGGCAATAACATCCTGGGGAAAAGGTGGTCAACAAAGAGAAAGCAACCTTGCATAGAGGGATGGAAAGTATATAAAATGTCACCACTAGCATGAAAACAGTGTCTTCTTCACAACAGTTTTGCATATTCACACACTGATTTTACATCATAAAATCTACTTACTCTGTATTCTAAGCATTAAGTTTAAAAAAGGCACCTCAGTTAGACAATGCACACAAAGTCTGCCAAAAAGGAACAATCTGACTTATTGAAAGTTCGCTAACCATATAGCTGTAAAATATCATGGCAATCCCAAAACACTTCAGTTTTAATGTAAAGAAAAGCCATCAGCTGAGTTTTCCCAAATCATTTTTCCTGTTCAATTTCCACAGGACAGCAATTGGTGGATCAGCAACTCAGAGCACAAGCATCTCCTTTAGCTTTTCCTGCCGAGTTTATAATCTGCATTAAACAGCGTCCAAATTCTTCCAGGATCATGCGTTCTGTGACAGCTTTTGTCTGGCTATTCTTCTCTGCTTCCTCAGCTTGTGCCAAAAGACATTCACAAGTTGCTTCTGCCACTTCTTTTGTCACAAATGTGAATGGCAACCTGAAAATGAAAATCAAGGAGAAAACTGAACAAAAGTTATTAAGTACATATCAAATTCACAAAGGCTTACTGCAAAGATTTCTTCATCTCAAAAAGTATCTTAAATCATGATGGTCCCTAAAGGATTAATTCTAGAGTAAAACTAGTACAAGGGGTTAATCCATCAATTCGATTCTTAATCTAAATCAAATAGGTTCATTCCAAAATCAATCAGTGGGAAAATGCTGCAAGTTGAAGCCATATTAAGCTAATGGAGAAGTTATTGGAGAAAATTTTGGAGAAGATTCTTAGGGACAGAATTTATAGGCAGTTGGAAAAACTGGATTTATTAGGAGTAGTCAGCATGGTGTAATGCGGGGGAGGCCTTACCTCGCAAACGTGACTGAGTTTTTTTCAGGAACTCACAAAGATGATTGATGAGAGTAGGGCAGTGAATGTTGTCTATATGGACTTTACTAAAGCATTTGACAAGATCCTTCATGGTAGCCTCATCTAAAAGACAACGTCGCATGGGATCCACAGTGAGTTGGTAAATTGGATACAAAATTGATTTGGTTATAGAAGACAGATGGTAGTTGCGGAGAGGTGTTTTTCTGACTAGACCGCTGTTGTTTGTAATATATTGGACAAATGATTTGGATAAAAATGTAGGTATTTTGATTAGTAAGTTTGCAGACAACACAAAATATTGGGGGCGTTGTAGATCACCCAAATTAATGTCTACATCTTTGATCTATACTCAGAATCATATTGTTCAGAACAGGTCTTTTGGACCATAAGTCTGTACTGCCAAAAATATACTAACTACACTAGCCCCACTTTCCCACACTAGACGCATGTTTTGAATGTTGTGGTACTTTAAAAAGTACTTGGATAAACATTTGAAGGTTGAGAGATTGCTGGTCTCACCTACCCTCCCAGGCAGTGCATTCCAGACCCCCACCGTCTGTGGGTGAAAATGCTTTTCCTTAAATTCCCTCAACTTCTTGCTTTTCACCTTAATATTGTGTTTGCTTGTTACTGATCTTTGACTAAGGGGCTCAGCTGTTTTCTATTCACCCTGTCCATGCCCCACAATCTTAAACATCTTCTATCATGTCAACCTTCTCTGCTCCAAAGAAAACACGAGATTATCCAGCCTCTCTTCATAGCTGAAATGCTCCATCCCAGAAAACGTCCTGGTGAATCTCCTTTGCACCCCTTGCAGTGCAATCTCATCTTCCCATAATGTGGTGACCAGAACTGCACACAGTACTCCACCTGTAACCTAAACAAAGTTCTGTATAGCTCCAACATTATGTCCCTGCTCTTATAATCGATGCCATGACTGCTAAACGCAAGTATCCTCTATATTTTAACTATGCTAGTAACCTATCCTGCCACCTTCAAGGATCTGTGGTCAAGCACCCCAAGATCCCTATGTTCTTCTGAGATATGTCTTGTTCCTATTTCCAAAATGCATCACCTCACGCATATCAGGGTTAAATTCCACCTGCTACTGATCTGCTCATCTGACCAATCCATTTATATCCTCGTGTAATCGAATACATTTTTCCTCACTGTCAACAACCCTGTCAATCTGTCAGTCTTTGTGTCATTGACAAACATACTCATCATCCCTCCCACATTCTCATCTACATTATTTTTGAATACCACAAACAAACAGACAATCAAGGCAAGCAGCACTGAGCCCTGTGGCACACCACAGCACATCAGCTCCAGTCAGTCTTCTACCACCACCCTCTGTTTCCTGTCACTATGACAATTTTGGATCCATCTTGCTAAGTTATCCTGGATCCCATGAAAATTTACCTTATCATGTTTGCCATGTGAGACCTTGTCAAAGGCCTTGCTGACATCCAATATAACTACATTAACTGTCCTACCATCAGCCAAACACTTGGTCAACTCTATAATTCTAAGTGTATCTCAGTACATTGAGAGAAGTCAGGAAGGAAAATGCAGGGTGTCTAGCAGAAACATGTGTATCATTTATAACCAGAGGTGAAGTAATGGAGGGTGGCTGTAAGGAGAAGTGTGGAAACTAAAGACCTACGAGTCTGACATTGGTGGTGATTCCGAAAGATAGGATTTATACGCATTTGGACAAGCAAGGTTTGATTAGCGATTGTCAGTATGGTTTTGAGCGAGGAAAATCATGTCTCTCAAACTTGACCGAGTTTTGTTTTAATAAAGTAACCAAAAACATTGATGAGGGCAGAGCGGTAGACATTGTCTTACGTGAACTTTAGCAAAGCCCTTGACAAGGTTTCACACGGTAAACTGATTAATCAAGTTAAATTAAATGGGATTCAGGGTGAGCTTGCCAATAAATTGGCTTGGCGGTAGGAGACAGAAGGCGGTGGTGGAGGGTTGCTTTTCAGACTGGAGGCTTGTGACCAGCGGATTGTTTGTCATTTATAAAAATGATATGGATAAGAATATAGGAGGCATGGTTAATAACTTAGCAGATGACACCAAAATTGGTGGTATAGTAGAACAGCAAAGAAGGTTATGTAAGATTACAAAGAGATTTTGGTCAACTGGGTCAATGGGCTGAGGAGTGGCAGATGGAATTTAATCTGGATAAATGGGAGGTGTTGCATTTGTTAATACAGTTGACTCTTGGTTAGGCACATGGAGGATAGTAAAATGTAGGGTATGCAAGGTAGTTTGATCTTAGTAGGATAATAGATCTGCACAACATCGTGGGCCAAAGGGCCTGTACTGTGCTGTACTAATCTATGTTCTATGTTCTTTGTTTAAATAAGGACAGGACTTTTAGACTGGAAAGGCTGGGGTTTTTTCCCCCCCAGGAGTGTAGGAGATTGAGGGTTGACCTCATTGAAGTTTATAAAATCATGACAGGCATAGATAAGGTGAAGGGCATAGATAAGGTGAATTAAGGGTTTTTTCTCCCCAAAATAGGGGAGTTCAAAACTACGGGGCATATTTTTAAGTTGACAGGAGAAAGATTTAGAAAGGACATGTGTGCATGTTTTTTTTAAACATAGTGCGGTTTGTGTGTGAAATGAGCTACCAGAGAAAGTGGTGGATGCAGGTACAGTTACAAATGTTTAAAAGACATTTGGATAAGTTCATGAATAGGAAAGGTTTAGTGGGATACGGGCCAAGCACAGACAGGTGGCACGAGTTTAGTCTGGGGAGCATGTCAGTGTGGACCAGTTGGACCGAAGGGTCTGTTTCCATGCTATATGACTGTGACCTCAAAAAATCCCACCAGATTTGTTAGGCATGACCTCCCTCCGAGAAAGCCATGCTGACCATCTCTAAAGCAAACCTTGTCTCTCTAAGATGGAGAATACAAGTTATTTCTAATTGTTTATTTTCTTTTCCTTGTTGTTCCTTTCTTCCCTGTATGTATGTGTGTGTTATGTTGTGACAATCATCCTCTGGGTTTGAATGCATGAATAAACCAAGCATCTGGTTTAACCCTAAGTAGTTACTACAGGTCATTTTTAAATTGACCTATACAAATAGAAACAGGAAAATAAATATGGGAAAACAAAAAGAAAAATCAAATCCGCTCTTCCACATGTCTGCAACACAAGACCAAAACACAGTACCTTTATAACACCACAAGAACAAAATATAGTTGATTGTCTGCAAAATATATCAACACAATAGTTTACATGAATACACTGCCTTTGACATCTGAAAGTGTTCCAAACCTCTTCAGAAACGTAATAAGTGAAGATCAACCTAAAGGGAGAGGCTTCAGAACCATTGAACTAAATCAAGAATAAATGGCAAGATTTATGGAAGATGCGAAGGGAGTAGAGCAGAGTCCAATCTGCTGACATTGAGTTGGTAGAGGGGAAGGGTTGAGCACCTGAACGAACATACACATGGAAACATAGAACAGTACAGCACAGTACAGGCCCTTCGGTCCACGATGTGCCAAACTTTTACCCTAAACCTAATGTCTATCTAACCTCCACCCCTACCTTATACTATCATCCATATGCCTATCTAATAGCCGCTTAAATGCCCCTAATGTGGCCGACTCCACTACCCTCTCCGGCAATGCATTCCACGCCCCTACCACTCTCTGAGTAAAGAACCTCCCTCTGATGTCTCCCCTGTATCTACCTCCACTCACTTTAAAACTATGCCCCCTCGTAAAAGCTACCTCCACCCTAGGAAAAAGTCTCTGGCTGTCCACTCTACCTACATCTCCGATCATTTTGTACACCTCTATCAAGTCACCTCTCATCCTTCGTCGTTCTAAAGAGAAAAGCCCCAGCTCTCTCAACCTTTCCTCGTAAGACCTTCCCTCCATTCCAGGCAACATCCTAGTAAATCTCCTCTGCACCTTTTCCAACGCTTTCACATTTTTCCCCTAATTAGGCAACCAGAACTGGACAATACTCCAGGTGTGGCCGAACCAGGGTTTTGTATAGCTGGAGCATAACTTCACGGCTCTTGAACTCAATCCCTCTATTAATGAAAGCTAACACACCATATGCCTTAACAACTCTATCCACCTGGGTGGCAGCTTTCAGGCAACTGTAGACATGAATCCCAAGATCCCTCTGCTCCTCCACACTGCCAAGAATCTTTCTGTTAACCCTGTATTCTGCTTTCAAGTTTGTCCTTCCAAAATGAATCACCTCACCTCACACTTTTCAGGGTTAAACTCCATCTGCCACTTCTCAGCCCAGCTCTGCATCCTGTCAATGTCCCTTTGTAACCTAGAACAGCCCTCCGCACCGTCCACAACTCGACCCACCTTCGTATCGTCCACTAACTTATTAATCCACCCTTCCACACCTTCTTCCAAATCATTTACAAAAATCACAAATAGAAGAGGACCCAGAACAGCACACCACTCGTAACCGAGCACCACGTTGAACACTTTCCATCCACTACCACCCTTTGTCTTTTAAGGGTCAGCCAATTTTGAATCGAATCTGCCACACTTCCCCCTATCCCATGCCTCCTTACCTTCTGCATGAACCTACCATGGGGAACCTTATCAAATGCCTTACTTAAATCCATCTATACCACATCCACTGCTCTACCTTCATCCACGTGTTTGGTCACCTCTTCAAAGAATTCAACTCGGTTTGTGAGGTATGATCTACCTCTCACAAATCCATGCTGACTATCATGAATCAAACTGTGCCTATCCAAGTGATCATAAATCCTATCTCTGAGCCCTTTCCGATAATTTGCCCACCACTGAACTAAGACCAACTAGCCTGTAATTTCCAGTGTTAACCCTATTGTCTTTTTTGAACAAGGGAATGACGTTTGCCACTCTCCAATCTTCGGGCACTATACCCGGAAGAAACAGACCTCAGCTCTGCACGACATTGCCAAGGGCAGCGCTCATTTCAAATTAACAAGGCCAAGGATAGATTGTTGAGAGAGAATCTGCATGCAACACTCCTGGGGCAGGAGACACAATGATCAGCAGGTAAGATGGAATCAAACAGGGCGCATACAATGGAGTGATAGTGCTCAAAGCTGCAATGGTCAAGAAGGGTGAAGAAGGTTAATGCACTGGCATAAAGGATGCTATCCCAGGCTGGATAAGGTCTTTTCTGTGCTGTGGTCAGGATGGAAACCTCACAGAAAAGATTCAGCCATGGAGTTGTTAAAAGATAGATAAATTTTGAGACGACAACACATCCAACAACAGAGCAAAGGACCATTGCAGATGAATCAGCAATTTGCAAGTAAAGCACTGTTGACAAGAGATACTTTGAAGTAGGGAGTGATGACGGCAGGTTTGAAAGGGGAGGGAGATAGAACAGAAGTAGAGGGAACAAGTTATGATAGGCTATTTAATTTATTTTAACTGTTAGCCCCTATGTCCAAAGCATTAAGAAAAATTATGAGATCAAGTGTGCTAAGTACAAACACTATCAAACTATACTTTCAAACGACCTTGAAACAACACTGAAAACAACAAATGCTGGCGATCACAATCGATCAGATTGCATCCAGGGAGAGAGAGCAAACTCCATGGATGCTGTCTGACCTGATGTGATCTCCAGCAGAAGTTGTTTTCAGTACAGATTTCAGCAGTAATTTGTTCTTACAACCTTGAAACAATAGTATTTTTAGCTCATCTAAAATCTGATCCTGTCACAAGCTTTGGAATCAGTGAATGACCTACTTTCCCCCTCCACTTGTAACTGCTGGCGTTGTTCTGGTCAATAGGTCAGATATTTGTGATGAAAGCTTTGTTTTTGCAGCCGTCTGTTGCTGGACACGCACTTCCGCAGCATCCGCCAAATGCATTAGGGTCTTCCGCTCCGGGCTTTCCTCAAAGTTTTTACAGCCAATACATTTACATATTGATGAACACATGATCTTTGCCTGAGGAACAACAACATGAAGGGAAAACATTAGATTTCAACGTTACATATTTCACTCATTCTTTATCATCCACAGCTGGCAAATGTTTTGCACTTTCAGTGAGCTGAATCATTTGATAAAATAACGTTGCACCTCTCTAAAACAAGAGCTTTCAAAGCAAAACTGTCAAATTTTGATTTAGAGATCTACCAAATATTTAAATTTGGAGAAAACTTCAAGAATACTCATCCCATCCACCATTATAAATCAGAACCGTCAAGAAAGGAATTACTTTGTCAAGCTAATCTGTCAGCTTGTCATAAACCACTCTTAGGATTACACCAATTGTTAGGTCAATGATCACAAGATGTCCTGCATAATCTTCCTATTTAGCTCGTCTCTTGCATAGGGATTATTCCTCTTTGGAGTATATATTTTAGCAATTCTACGTTTCACATGGGATCAGTTTGCTCAGTTGGCTGCACGGCTGGTATATGATGCAGAGTAACGTGAACTGCATGGTTTCAATTCCTGCACCCGCTGAGGTTACTATGAAGAATTCTCTTCTCAACTTCTCCACCCACCTGAGGTGTAGTGATTCTCAAGTTAAAACACCACCAGTTATCACTCTCTAATAAGGGAGCAGCCTATGGTCTGTAAGACCATGGCGAATTTAGCTTCACTGTTCCACAACTGATCTTCCCATTCTCATCATTGCAACGTGAGAAAAGACAGTGTACTCAAATAAAATATGTAGATATTCCATGTAAATTCAACTATCTAACTAACTTCACCAATGTTTATTTTGCAAGGTTAAGTGTACTTTTTAATTCACTCATAGATGCCTCATTTCATTTTTGTCTGCAGTTTGCTGCTGTAGATGGTAGTCAACAGTTTTAACAAAGGTAGTTCAATGTTACTTGCAAAGGCATCACTTAGGAGGAGGATTCTTTCATTACAGTCTTATGAGATTTGCAGGCAGAAGAGGATCAGGTGTCTATTATACACCACGTATAATTTATCCTTTCAGCAATGGCAAGTAGGAAAAGAAAATTCACACGTGGTGAATACAGGCAGCTCATCCAATATAATATGCTACATGCCCCCAGTGCTTTGCCCACAAGATAGAACATTGAGGCAAGAATAGCCCAAATCTTCAAAAGACTAAAGAGGCAGAGGTGCAAACAGCCTGCTTGACAGACTGTGAGCACAAAAAAAGGGGAGAAATATTCAGTTAACAAGTTACCAGTGAGACCCGAATTTAAGAAGAAACATTATTCCAAAAGAAATAATCATATGAAACAGACTGAGCAAAAAGACTTTCAAACTGTGTTCATTAATTCTTTCATTGAACATGTTGGTTTTGTATTAAGATTATTTCTTAAAAAAATGAATACACTGAAAGGATTAAATACTTGTCTGGTCACAAAATTTTCCTCTACACTATCATGCTGATTACCATCTAGGATATTTTCAGCACAATTGCACTGACAGGCTAGCCTTGAAATTTGAAATTGGGTGGCAGGATCTCGTTTCTTATTGAAGCCTGTTCCCACCCAGCACCCATTACTCGTTCTGCAACGAGTGAAGCTTCTCTTCCAATTCCTCTGGTACCTTTTCTAATGAGCACCTCATCTCTTTCTATCCAGCACCACTTTAAAATTCTCAACTACTGATCCTTCTAGACTCAGTCATACAACACAGAAATGCACCCTTTGATCCAACTCATCTGTGCTAACCAGATCCCAATCTGACTTAGTCCCATTTGCTGGTATTTGGCCCATATCCCTCTAAACCCTTCTTAGTCATGTACCTATCCAGATGCCTTTTAAAATGTTGTAATTGTACCAGCTGCCACCAGTTGCTGTGGCAGCTTGTTCCACATATGCACCACCCTCTCCGTGAAAAAGTTACCCGTCAGGTCCTTTTTAAATCTTTCTCTTCTCACCTTAAACCTATGCCCTGTAGACATGCCAACTGTTGTGTGCTATCCCTTTTCAACATTTGAAATTAACCTTATCCTCCAAATTTTCTTTCTCAGCTTCAATGTCTTCTTTCTTGTAAACATATTTCTCTCATTCTCAGTATCTAATATCTACTGGCATAAAACTCTACTTGTGCTATCCACAGCCAACCTCTCATCTTTGCCATTGCCCATGATTGCTCCCATGATCCTTTCTGGCCTGTACTATTAAAAGTTAAGGATCTGTGACTGAGATGTACAAACTTTCTATTCTGCATCTATTCTCGGTAGTGAAATTCTGCTTACACTTCACATTTTGGAATCATCTCCACAAATTCCTTCAAGCTTTCCAACTCACTTTCCTCTGGTAAATCTCTTATCTGGTAAGATCCTCTATAAAATCATTTAACTACATACTTGGTTCTCTCTCTCATATACATTGGTTCATATTCTCTCTAGAGAGATGATATAATTAAATTGAAGTTGTTGTTGAGCTGGTGGGACTTGGAGAAAGGGGAGTATAGTATGTGGAAAGGAACTGTCCAGGGCCATACAGTTATGAAGTAGGAACAGATATTCTAGTGCTTGAATAATACCTATGAGAATTCATGGCTCAGTGGTTAGCACTGCTGCCTCACAGTGCCAGGGACCCGGGTTCGATTCCACCCTCGGGCAACTGTGTGGAATTTGCACACATTCTCCCAGTGTCTGCGTGGGTTCCCTCCCACAGTTCCAAAGATGTGCAGGTTAGGTGGATTGGCCATGCTAAATTACCCGTAGTGTTCAGGGATTGTGTAGATTAGACGGGTTATAGGGGAATAGGTCTGGGTGGGATGCTCGGAGTGTTGGTGTGGACTTGTTGGGCCAAAGGGCCTGTGTTTCCACACTGTACGGATTCTATGATTATGCTAAAATTCTAACAAAAGGTTATACAGGTGGGAGAGAGTCAAATGGTCTGCATCCAGACTTTTACAAGAATCTAAATGATCCAAGCCATTTGGTTTGTCTCTCTCATACTGTTACAGTTTACTTTTCTTACAATACTCCAAGTGCAAAGCACTGCTGCCGCAGCACTGGAATATAACCCAAAGTGAAAACATTAATTTGTTTGCGATAGGTTAAATTATTATTAATCATTTGGGGGAAATGGCCATCTCTGGCAAGGCCAGCATTTGCTGCTCTTCCCTAATTGCCCCTGAACTACATGTAGAGGGCAGTTAACAGTAAATCACATTACTGTAGATGTGGCGTCAGAGACCAGATCAGGCAAGGGCAGATTTCCTTCCCAAAAGAGGGCTTAATGAACCAGATGTGTTTTTAATGACAATTGATGATAGTTGTTATGGTCACCATTACGAAGATCAGCTTTATATTCAAAATTTGTTAATTTTTATTGAATTGAAATTCTACCACCTGTCATGGTGCAATAAGAAACCCATCCCCAAAGCATCAGTCCAGTGGTATTACCGTCACCTCTCCCAATTATGATGAAAATTCTAATAAATTGAAACAAAGTAAAAATTCTTCCTGAAGTAAAAACAGAAGATGACAATAAAGGTGCTCAGTCAAATTAATTGATTTTGTAGACGATATCAAGCCCGAAAAGATTGGAGAATCAAAGCTCGCCACTCACGAATAAAACAAAAATGGGTTGGACAGCTTACATGAATGTGCAAAATAATAGATTAAATTTACTGCAAATAAATGTAAAGTGCTGCACTCAACATATCCAAACAATGGAATGAAACAAATTAAACTACATAGCCAAAACAGTAAAATAGAAAATTATACAGATTTTCTCATGTGCTGACAATGTTGAACCTGGAGAACCAGACCTCGTTCAGGTCAAGAAAACAAGTAAGCATATAGGAAATGCAGTGAAGACCTGGCAGGCAGATACCTAGAATGGAAAGCTTTCACTTTCAGGCAAGAAAGGAGATGCTGGCGCTTCAACTTGGAAAGGAAATTCTTGTTTAAGTATCTCCCGCAGCACTGTAATGAAAGGACTTCCAGTATTTTGACACAGTGACAGTGAAGGTGCAATGATAGAGTTCAAAGTCAAGTTGACATATAAATTTCATGTGATGGTGTTCTCATGCACCAGTTACCTTTTTTTAAAAAGAAGTTAGCAGTAATGGGTGGTGCTCTCTAGCTTTGGTAAATAGTTGTAGTGCCCCTTGTACACAGCACACACTGCTGCCGCAATGTGCCAGAGGCAAATGATATGCATGTTTAAGGTGCTGGATGAGTCATCAATCTACCATGCTACTTTGTCCAGGGTGGTGTCGAGTTACTCAAGTGTTTTTGGAGTTGCACTCATCCAAGCAAATTGGACAGTATTCCTTTACATTCCTGACTTGTGCTTTGCAGATGTCTTTGGGGAGTCAGGAGGTGTGGTACTTGCTGTAGAATTCTCAGCCTCTGGCACACTTTTGTAGCCAGAGTATTTACATAGCCTGTCCAGTTAAAGTTTCTGGTCAATAGTAATGTCCAGGTTATTGATGCTGGGGTATTCAGCAATGGTGTGGCAATTGACAATAAAGGGGTGATGCCAAGATTCTCTCTTGCTGGAGATAGTCATTGCCTGGCACTTTTGTGTGACACAAATATCAATTGCCTTTACCAGTCCAAACCTGAATTTTGTCCAGCACCTGCTGCTTGCAGCCATGGACAGTTTCTTGGGATGACAGGACTGACATATGAAGACAGACTAGATCAGTTAGGACAATATTCACTGGAGTTCAGAAGGAGGAGGAAGGATCTCAGAAACCTATAAAATTCTAACAGGACCAGACAGGGTAATTGCAGGAAGGATGTTCCCACTGACAGGGAAGTCCAGAACCAGCAGACACAGTCTCAAGATATGGGTTGGTGATTTAGGACTAAGGTGAAGAGAGTATTTTTCACCTAGAACGGTGAGGCTGTGGAATTCTCCGCCACAGAAAAGTAGTGGAGGCCCAAGCTTTGAAAGCTTTCAAGTTGGAGGTGGATACAGTTCTTAGAATTAAAGGAATTAAAGGGTACAAGGTGAACGCAGGAACGGGGTTCTGGGTTGGATGGTCAGCCATTATCATATTGAATGGCAGAACAGGCTTGAAGATGGAGTAATCCACTCACCTTTTACATTTTGGTATCTTTCATTTAACGCCTCCTATCTTCCACCCTATCACAGAAATCCGTTTCTTTCTTATTCCTTCACTACCCCTCCATTCCAGCCATTTAGAAGCTACTGCATTTCGAACTATTTCCCAGTTCTGATGAAAGGGACCTGAAACATTTAACTCCGGTTTCTCTCTCCATAGATACTATTAGCCATTTTCGGTTTTAATTTCAACATCTATGGAGATGGCATTGAATTTTGTCCAATCATGAGCAAACATCCCTAGTCATGACCTTAGGGAGGCTATTGATGAAGCAGCTGAAGGTATTTGAGGAATTCCTGCAGTAATGACCTGGGCTCAGATGACCAATTTCCACTTAACACAACCTCCTTTTGTGCTAGATCTCCAACCAATGGAGATTTTTTTCTCCTGATTCTAAAATGATTTCAATTTTGCTTGGGGTTATTGACACCACATCTGATGTCAAGAACTGTAACTTTCACCTCTGGAATTTAGCTGGGTTTTTTTCCATGTTTGGATAAAAGTTGTAATGAGTCAGGAGCTGAAAGCTCTTGGCAGAGCCCAACCTGAACATCAATAAGCAAGCAGATTATCACTCAGTAAAGTACTACATGATTGCACTCTCAATGTCATCTCTCACTACCTTGCTGACACTGGAAAGTAAACACACTGATGGGAGAAATGCGAAAATGAAGAGATGACTGAAAAAGGCACACAGAAAAAGCTAAATCTGGATTATTTCAAATTAAGTGAACAGTTTATTCAAACTACTGAAAGGCAGATTTAGGACAGATATCAGGAACTTTCTCACATGAAAAGCAACCAATATTTGTGATGGACTTAAAAAAACCTGAAGAACTGCAGATGCTGGAAGTCAGAAACAAAAGCAGAGATTGCTGGGAAAACTCAGCAGGTCTGGCAGCATCTGTGGGGAGAAAACATACTTAACGTTTTGGATTCAGTGACCCTTCTTCAGAACTGAAGAACTAAACAGTTTCTGCCAGACCTACTGAGTTTTTCCAGCAATTTCGAATTTTTGTGGCTTGTAATAGACTGTCCGGTAAACTGGAAGTGAAAATCTGAAAATTAAATCTGGAACATAATAATGGAGGTGGGGAAAATGTACAGCTTTTTCTGCTGCACAGATTAAAATTTAAAACAAACAGTCTGCCCACTGAGATACTGGCATTCCTGCTACCAGCTCATAGACGGATAGTTATACTTGAGCGATGAACTTGAAAGCTGCAGAATTCTGAATTTCAACATCTGTGTCTTCAATAAAGATGGGGCTGGAATTTTAGAAGCAGACTTTTCTTGCAGTAATAACAGTATAATGATAATTAGCAGTTATCCTGAAAGCTACAATTACTTGAAATAAGTTTTCATTGAAATGCTAACTTCAGCTGGCAGGAAACTCCAAAGCATAGAAAGTGTGTTTCTATTTGTGGGGTAGCACATTTGGATTTCACAAGATGCTAATATGCATTATCAGGGTTCATCATATTATGAGTAACATGTTAACATGAATTCAGAATGGGCTAATGGGGAAACAACAATAAACTGATCTCTTTCAAGTTGGCAATTAATGGGGAAATGTAAGGATCAATGTTACAGCCTCAGCTATTCACAATCTACATTAATGATTTAGTTGAAGAGAAAGTAATGCATCCAAGTTTGCTGATGATACAAAGCATGATGGAAAAGTAAGTGGTGAGGGAATGAAAAGTGCAGAAGGGAGGGAGACAAATAGAATACAATGTGGACAAATGTGAAGTTATTCACTTTGATTGGACAAACAGATTTCTTCCAAGAAAGGTTGGAAATGTTCATATTCAAGAACCTGGGTGGATTTTGCACAAATGTCACAGATAGGTAAGCCGCAGGTACATCACGCAATTAGAAAAACAAATGATACGTTAGTCTTTTCTTCAAAGGAATTGGTGTAGAAAGTTTACGAATGTGGAATTCACCATCACAGAGTAGAAGTAGATAGCATAAAAGCATTTAAAGGGCATGGTGAATAAGTAGAAGGGGCAGTGAAAGGAGTAGTGGAATATAATAATGTGATAATGTCAAAAAGGTTAATCGGAAAGGCATGTGAAGCATAAACTTGGGACTTGTTGGGTCAAATGGTCTGTGTTTCTGTGCTACAGATGCCATGTAATATTGACCAGTGTGGGGTTTTTTTTATAATTAATTTTCAGGAGGAAAAGTATGGACAAGACAGAAATCAGAGCTCGCTGAAAATTCTTCATCCTTTAGATTCTCTGGTATTTGATCAATTAGCTCAGTGACAATTGGAGATTGAAATTAGTTAAAATCACCCCTGGGCTAGAGAAGGGCAAAAATCAGTCAGGAGTTTCATCTTAGCCCTGTGAATTGTGCAAACATTTTGATGTTGGGTCAGGCTAAGTTCCAATTTTGCTGAAATATCCACTAGTCAATCAACCCATTATTTTCACAGACCGTCTAACATTTGAGAAAGATACTCAAGAGTTGGCAGATTGAATACCAGAAGGCAGTACCTTCAGTAGAAAACCAAGACAAGAGGAAGGGTGGAGAAGAACACATAGATTAGTCCATTTAAAAATAGTCAAAAGTCTTCGGAGACAGATTGAGATTTGTAACCTTGGGCAGATAATGAAAGACCTTTACTTTGATGTCAAGTAAACATGTACTTAGTTTCAAATCTGAAAGGCCAGAACAAAATATTCTCCCATCATTCTTACCTCATAGCATTCACAGTAATTTTTCAGACACCCCGATCTTTTACAGTTACATCCTTTGCTGTGCCGTCTATCAGATTCACCTTCTTTTCCTTTCCCAATCTTAGGTTTAAATGCTTCTGGATTTCTGTCAAGACATGCCTAGAAGAGAAGACAACTTTAAGGCATTTAGAGATCCAGGGTAATAATAAGAAGTCAAAATGAACATAAAAGTAGGCATCAACGCTTCTTTAATCTATGTTTCACAGTCAAAAAGCAATTAAAATCACAAAAACATGGGAAGAATCCTTCTCTGGTCAGATTATTTTGCAAGATAGCATTCAGCCAAACAGAGAACTCCACCAACTCAAAAGTTCACAAACACAAACTGGATTTAAGATGTTATCTTAAAACTATCCTTGTAAATGTTTGGCTTCAACAAAAAATGGGGAAATAAAACTGCTTTCATAACACTAGAATACCAGATCAAAAAAGGCTGACCACCCTTAAAGTCAAGTGCACAGTTTATTACTTTTAACCGCTTAAATTATTTTCTCATTACCCATTCCCTCTTAAAAATGACATAGCTTCTTTGCTGTACTTAAGAGATGACTAATGGTCACATTTGGCACAAAATTATCTGCAATAGAAATTATATAGAAGCAAGGATGGATAGAAACTTGCACTGTGTGGAGAAGGCAACTGCGACACATTACAATGGACAAATCATGCCCTAAAGCTTTAGTAGAAGAGAATGGTGCACCGGCGTCATTCCGAATGCTCACAACAAGGATATGCAATCGAGGGCAGGTCAAATGCAGACTAGATGAAGTACCTTCGAAGCAGTTGCTACTCATCTGCCAAATAATGATAGCTGACTCTGACAGATTCAGTGCTGCATAAAGCAGCCTCTCTGTCAGTCCATTTCTGGAGCTGTTCAGTACAAATGATCAAAACTTGACAAGTTGTGAAAGTTTCGCTAAGGCAGTTCCTCTCCCTTTCACCTCACTATCAAATTAAGGACAATGGGAGACTAATTTCCTTTTTGAAAGGGGATTTCACTTGGAAACATCTCAATCAATCAGTTTCTTAAATTCAATTGGCTGCCACTGTTAGGTAGATGGCTACCAAAGCACTCAACCTACCCCAAGAATAATGATAGGAGCAGGAACACATTGGGATTCCTGCCTGCTGGCAATTTTTGTGCTATTGCTTCTCCCAGCACTTGTCACCTAGGCAGGCCTGGGAACCACCATGCCCACCTCCATCCCCACATATCAGACATGGTTTTAAGATTAAAATATTAGCTTTATGTCGTAAAACGTGATCACAGAATCAAAGCATGTTTACAGTAGATTTCCCTTTACATAAAGTGATAAAAATAAATTGCAATTACAACTTTTAAATGCAAAGTTAATCCTCTGTAAATTATGCACGATTCCCTTTCCTCGAATTCTTTTCAACAACACTCTGAAAGCCAATTGAATCTAAACTGTTTTGATAAACATTTGAGCTCAATTTCTTCTCTAGGAGATTCAAACTGATGGGTTCTGAGTTTTTCATAACAGACTTTAATTTGAATATTCTTTGAGAAAAACCAAAATCCATGGGATATTAGCATCCCTACAAGATTGGTATTTATTGTCTCTCCTTATTGTATCAAGTAACTTCTGAAGTAGCGCAGCAAGCTATTAACCACATTGACAGACTGAAGTCACATATAGAAAAGGGCCAGATTTGTTTTAATCCAAGTAAAGGAACAACTGTGTTTAATGACAATCCAAAAAGTTTTCTGATCACTTTTAACAAAATCAGTTTTTAATTCCAGATTTAATTTCTTTTCTAAAGCAGAAATTATGTCCCAAAGTTACCGTGGTGACAACTGAACTAATACAGCTTGAAACAGTCCCGTCATTTGGATTACTAGTCCAATAATTTAGTGACTACACAACACTACATTTTTACACAAAACAGACTAATCGAATATAGAAATATAAATAGGAGTGGGGCATTCAGACTTGCGAACCTTATCTGCCACTCAGTAGGATCATTGCTGATCCTCGACTCAAGACCACATTCCTTGTTCTTCCCCATATCCCTTGACGGCTTAAAATCTAAAAATTTATCAATATCTTTCCCGAATACACTTAGTGATGGAACGTTCACAGCCTTCAAGTAGAGCAAAGTCCATATGTTGACAACCCTCTGCATAAATAAATGCTTCTTAACAGATTCCCCCAGACCTACCCATTAAGTGAATAAGTCCTGTCCTGATTTGCCTTCGCAAAATGCAACACCTCACATTTATCTGATTTAAACTTTATCTGCCACTCCTCGGCCCATTGGTCCATCCGAACAAGATCCTGTTATACTCTGAGGTAGCCTTCTTCACTGTCCACTACACCTCCAATTTTAGTGTCATCTGTAAACTTACTAACTGTACTCCTATGACTCTTAGGATCAAACTGAATATCTTTCTAATCAACCCATGCAGAGATGTTATTACACATGTATGAAGTAGTTGGGATTTGAATCTGAGTCTTCTAGCCCATTGAACTGCAGCCCAGTCTTGTTTGAGATATTTCTCATCAATTCCAACTTTACTGTCTGCCACGGTGAGATCTGAACCCACTTCCCCGGAACATTGGTCTGCTAACCCAGAGGCCAAGACTAGTGACATTACCATTGCACCACCTTGTGACAGAAAAGGGTCAACCAGAACAGCTCCAGAGTTGTCCTCACTTGCTCCAGAGGTGTGTAATAACAGCTCTGAACAGGTTGATTAAATAAAATAATCTTACCTCTGCTCGTGCTGATTATAAAATATAAAGAACCGATTTCAACCCTTGAAGCATTTAGGGACAGGAAGGCAAAAAGGGACGAGAGCGCATTATCCTCCTCTCCCACCAGTTTGGTGATTGTGAGACCATCCCAAGTAGGCAGCGTTTGTTAATTGTTATTTGTTTAATTAGTTTGTTGGGTGATTTGGTAGTGAAATTTTCAAAATATAAAAAAATGCTAGGTTCTTTGCCCGTGGTCAGCAGTGCAAGTAATTTGTTTTGGATTAATTAATTAATTGGGTGATTTTGGTGGTGGTGTTTAAAGAGAAAAAGAACTGGATTCTTGGATAGATGATTGGTTGGCTGGCTGACAGGAAACAGTATGCATAATGGATCTTTTTTAAGATTGGCAGGATATGACAAGTGGGGTCCGACAGATGTATGTCTTGGGCCATTAGTTTTTCATAATTTGTATATAAAAACTTAGGTGAGAAAGTTGAAGATATGGTGGCTAAATTTGCAGTTGATACAAGGATGGGAAGGAAAGCATGTTGTGAAGATGATCTAACAAGGATGCAAACCGGATATGGATAGGTTAAGTGAGTCAGCAAAACTTAGTGGATAGAATATAATGTGAGAAAAATGCAGCAGGAAGGAGGGGGAAGTGGGGACATTAATTTTTTTTTTCGGGCAGAGGTAGATTGATTCCTTTGCCTAACAAGAATCAAAAAGGTTAAAATCGTAATAGATTGGAATTTGGAACACGGATTAGCCACAACCTTATCAAATGGCGAAGCAGGCTTATTTCTACTCCTGATTCATATGTTTGTATTTAAACAGGGAAAGAGAAGTCCCCAAGCAACAAAACAATATTAAAGAATGAACTCAACTCCACAGCTGTATCTCTAAAAGAACAACCATCATCAAATGCAGTCTGAAACAAGTCACAGCAACAAATTATAAACTCCACATGATTTCTTTTTTCCCTGGAATTTGGCAAACCTATCCTTCCCTATTCTAACAAAACGGTTTAACGAAGATCTGTAGCTCGGGTTGCGTTGGAGTTGTTGGTCGGTTTGCTGAGCTGACTGGTTTTCATGCAAATATTTTGTCTCCCTTCCAGGTGGCATCATCAATCCTGTGTACCCTCTGCTGAAGCGCTGTTGTTCTGTCCTGCTCTGAATTTACGTGGTCTAGTTTGTCATGGCGGGCAGTCTTGTTTCCAGTTTTGTACCAAGGTGATATGTACATGGAGTCTATTTCAACATGTTTGTTAATTGCATCAGTGGTTGAAAACCAGGCCTCCAAGAATTCTCATGCTTGTCTTTGTCTCGCTTGTCCTAGTACTGTAACTTATTAACAGCATGGGATCCAACACTGGGATCAAGTTCACCAGGGAAGAAGAGAACAACAATCAACTCCCGTTTCTAGACATAATGGTGGAACGAATGAACAATGTGGAATTTCTTACCAGCATATGCAGAAATACCACACACACACACACACACACACACACACAATCCTGAATTACAACAGTAACCACCACCCAGAGCTGGGTCAAGACTCTGCTTAAAACGAGCGGTAACATGCTGGAGCTGTACAAAAACAAAGAGGAACACCGAAACAGAGTCTTTGCAAACAATGGTTATCCAAACAGCTTCATCCACCAATTCCTGGCAAACAAACAATACCAAGACGACACTGTACGCCCCAACACATTGGCCACCCTACCCTATGTTAGAAACACATCAGAACTGACAAGAATGCTACAACCTCTTGGAATAAGGATAGCACACAAACCAACAGCCACACTTCACTAGTTGCTCTCAAAGATGAAAGACCCCATACCCACAATGAGCAGGACAGATGTGATATAGAAAATACCATGCAGCAATTGCGAGAAACACTACATAGGACAGATGGGCAGGAAACTCACCACGAGGATACATGAACAGTAACTCGCAGCAAAAAGGCACGACCAATTCTCCCTCGTTTCAATACACTCCAACATAGAAGGACATCAATTTGACTGGGACAAAGTTATAGTACTACGACAAGTGAGACAGAGACAAGCACGAGAATTCATGGAAGTCTGGTTCCATAAGCGCTTCAACGGAGGCCACACAGCACTGATATTGTCACCTAGAAGGGAGACGAAATGTTTGCATGAAAACCAGTCAGCTCAGCAAACCAACTAACAACTCCAACTCTAACATACATGTGTGTGTGATGCATGTGACAATTGGCGCATACTTCATTATTTTAATCCGATCAGTTTACGGATAAGAAAACAGATCTTTCTTTGCGAAACTGAAGAAAGCCTGAGCTATTGGTTCTTTCACAAGAACAGCATGCACACAGTTACTCACTGAATTGGCAAACATCCTTTTCAAGCACAAGCTTTTTCCAGTCAAATGAGGACAGGGCAAAGAGGGGAGTCCATTAAACACTTCCTCACCTGATTGTAACATTTACAACAAGCTATAAACTAGATTCTAAAAAGAGGAATTAGTGATTGTTTTAAATCATGGATGGGTAGCTGAGACCAGTTACTTGCAATTCCTGAGCCATGTAGGAATCGGAGTAGTTCATGTGTCTTGGGTGAAACGTGCAAGATATGTCTCCATCTGCTTGAACTCAGGACTTTGAAGTTTGAGTGACAGCTGGAGTCACGTGGAGCAGAGATGGTGAAAGTCACCGAACTGTATGCTCCAGGTAATGGTCACGCCACAGGCGGTGTGTTCAGGAAGGGCAATGAGTGGACACACTGAAGAATAGAAGAGGTGATTGTGGTATCAAAAGAAGAAAAAAGCATGGTAAAAAAGTAGTGGAAAGGAGTGAAGCAGCCTGTGACTGCTCAAGTGAAACAAAAAAATTAAGAAGGGAGATCAGAAATACAGGTGCAGCAACTGAAATAAGCAGGGCATCAAAACTGCCCAAAAAGCAAAGTATGCTGGGAACGCCTAAGCCAAAACAGACAAGAGAATTCAGTCAAGGGACAAATCCTTGCAAGATCTAAGCCCAAACAACTGAAAACCAGAGAGGCACCAGAACTCATTAGGAAGTGTGAAAGGGCAATTCAACCCTTCCAGACAGACCAACAAACAACAGTAGATGCATGGGGTAGACATACCTCAGTAAAACAAAAGACTAGAGTGAGAGATAGTAGGAACTGCTGATGCTGGAGTCTGAGATAACAAACTGTGGAGCTGGATGATCATAGCAGGCCAGGCAGCAGAGGAGCAGGAAAGCTGATGTTTTGGATCTGGACCCTTCTTCAGAAATGGGGGAGGGGAAGGGGGCTCTGAAATAAAGACAGAGCGAGGGAGGCGATGAAAGAAGATGGATAGTGGAGCAGATAGGTGGAGAAAAGATGGACAGGTCAAGGAGGCGGGGATGAAGCTCGTAAAGGTGAGTGCAGCTAGGGAGTTGGGATGGGGGTTGATCAGTGAGGAGGGAGGGGCGGGTAGGTGGGAGGGAAGACGGACAGGTCAAGGAGGCGGGGACAAGTGTACCAGACACCTTCCACCCCAAGCTTAAGTTCACCTGGACCATCTCTGATACCTCTCTCTCCTTCCTGGACTTCTCTGTCTCCATCTCTGGTTACCACCTCAAAACTGATATCTGTTTCAAGCCCACCGACTCCCACAGCTACCGAGATTACACCTCCTCTCACCCACCTTCCTGCAAGGATGCGATCCCCTATTCCCTATTCCTCCGCCTCCACCCCCAAGGTGAGGCCTTCCACTCCTGGACATCCTAGATGTCCTTGTTTTTCAAGAACCTCAATTTCCCCCCCAACAGTGGTCAAAAACGCCCTCGACTGCATCTCTTGCATTTCCCACACCTCAGCCCTCGCACCCCCTCCCCGCAATAAAAACAAAGACAGAATTCCCTCGTCCTCACCTATCACCCCATCAACCTCCGGATTCAACACATCATTCTCTGCCACCAGCAATCTGACCCCACTATGAAGGATATATTTCCCTCCCCACCCTTATTTGCCTTCTGGAGGAACCGCTCTCTCCACGACACCCTCGTCCGCTCCACACTCCCCACTAGCCCCACCACGCCCGGCACCTTTCCCTGCAACCGCAGGTGGTGCTACACCTGCCCCTACATCTCCATCCCAGGCCCCAAGAAAACCTTCCACATTAAACAGATGTTCACCTGCACACCCGCTAACATGGTCTATTGTGTCCGCTGTTCCCGATGTGGCTTCCTGTGCATCAGGGAAATCAAGCGGAGGCCTGGAGACCGCTTTGTGGAGCGCCTACGCTTGGTTCGCAACAAACGACAACACCTCCCAGTCACAAACCACTTCAACTCCCCCTCCCACTCCCTGGACGACATGTCCATCCTGGGTCTCCTTCAGTGTCACGACGATGCCTCTCGAGAACTGGAGGAACAGCACCTCATATTCCGCCTTGGAACCCTACAACCCAATGGTCTCGATGTGGACTTTACGAGCTTCAAAATCTCCCCACCCCCGACCTCATCCCAAGACCAGTACCCCCCCCCCCTCCCCGTCTCCTTGAGCAGTCTGTCTTCTCTCCCACCTATCTGCTCCACTATCCATCTTCTATCACCACCACCCCCTCTCTCTATTTATTTCAGAGACCCCTTTCCCCTCCCCCATTTTGGAAGAAGGGTCCAGACCCGAAACGTCAGCTTTCCTGCTTCTCTGATGCTGCCTGGCCTGCTGTGTTCCTCCAGCTCCACACCTTGGTTATGTCAAAAGACTAGGGAGTATATTCTGGAATGAAACTAGACTTCCAGGCCCAAGAGCAGACACATCAAAAGGGTCGTTGTTAAGCAAGCCATCAAGAGCCACTGGCAGCATTTCAAGGTGATAAAGCCAATTAGTTTAATATCTCTGATTAGTCAAGTCCTTGGAAAGTTTGAGAAGGTAGCCAGAAAGGTACAAGAACCCAGCCTGGCAGGACTCAGGAAACCCCGCTCTCCAGCCTACCTACAGGCACACTGGGATTGAGCAGCTTGCCCTCTCAGAGAGAAATCAACTCGTGAAGAGAGGAATAGACTGAACAATTTCACAGACCAGCAAGAGCTACGAGTATCTGGGAAATATTTTAAGTCTCTAAAGAATCGGATAGTTAGAAATAGAGTTGTTAAACTTTACACATTTAACTCTTAACCTTTGTTGTCTTCAAAATAAAGTTACAACCTGGTTCACTGACCACAGACTTATGTTATGTAGTCCTTTCCTGATGCATGCTAAGGTGCCTGGTTAACTTAATATCGTGTACACTGGTTGAAGAGTCTGCAGGGTCTTAGAGACACCCTGTTCCAGACAACAGGGGTATGTAAAAATCCAAATCTTCCCGAATGGAATCCAAAATCACATACACAAGAATTTACAAATGGCTTCCTTTGCCAAAATGTTTCATTTTAGTCTCAAGATGGAAAGTTTCCCAAGATGTATACAAGGTAACTTTATTGCAGAATCATGAATTCAAGCAGGAGTAAGGGCACTTACTTTTACTGTTGGAATATCTCAACATCTTTTGGCCTGCATATTTCATGCCTAGGTTTCAATAATAAAAAAAACAAACCGCTGAGCTCTTTCTCCCTGAAATATGAAAGCAAATATATAAAATTCCTACATCACTGCAAGACAACATATTTATTGGGGCTGACTGGAAAAATATTCATCAGCAATTCTATTTTGGATCTGTGCTCAGCTGGTTACAAACACGAGGTCATATGAAGTCATGACAACCAAGTTAACGTGTAGCCCCAAAAATCAGGTCTAACTAAACAGACAAGAAAATAAATTGTCAATGGTATTTTATATTCTTTTTGTCAATTGTCTAATCCATCCTTCTCTTTCTGCAGGCACTAAATACTTGTCATTACAAATTCAAGATTCCATGCATCTTTAATGCACAGTCTGAGTGGTAAATCCTCAAATGTGAACTTTAATTATTGAGTTACTGGTGCAGCACAACCATGAGTCAAGACCTATTCACATCTGTCAATCCTACACACATTGTTAGCTGCGCTCACTGGAGGGAAATGCAGAAAGCAGAAACAATTGTTCATCCACAAATCGAGTTCAAAACGTGTACTGGTGAGTGGGGTAAACAGGATGAAAGTAGATTGGTGGAATTAGGAAGCATCCTGGACAGAAAGAATCCTAAAATTAACACCGAGAATGCCCTGCACTTGTCAGACAAGGCACATTTTTAATGTTGCACCTTTAAACAACTATAGAGTCTCACCTTTATTGCTTTTAGCCGCTCAGCTTCATGTTCCAGATTGTTGAAGCAGTTAGTACAATTGCAGTTATTGCAAAATTCTCCATTTGCAAAACAATCACAGTATCTAAAATGAAAGTTGAAATTTTAGATGAATCTAGAATATATTCTAAGTCCACAAATACATTAACAATTGCGATGAATTCATCACTATCATATTGTGTACCATTCCTGGAAGCTTGGAGTTCGAGCTAAAATTTTATAAAGAGATATTGCAATACATGTAAATCAGATGTAATAAGGGTGGCTATCCTGTATTTTAGTTTTACCAAGTTTTTGAGTTGATCTAGTAAAATGAGGTAATTTGCACCTGCCATAATCTAGCAATGCAGGCAACATGGCAAATGATCAGCTTAACTCCCAGAGATCAGCTGTGAACACAAAGTCTGATGTTTCCTGAATGATTTTTAGAGGCAACATGTTTGCTTTCTTGCACTCATCTTCTACTTACAGTTTGGCTAAGGGGGTACCAACAGAGTCTGCCACTGGGGCTTTTCTATCAATTAAGTGGCTCTACAGATTTACTGGCTGGAAGCAAATAGGGTCAAACCTTCCAGCTTTCATATAAGGAAGGAAGAAAGCAAAATTATCAAGAAACAAAAAGAACAAAAATGGTAAAGCACAATAATTATTTTAACATGAAATGTTCTGTGGCAACTTGCATGCTGCGTGTGACATGAAAACATGGTGTAAAGAATGTCAAGTATCGAGTGATGTGAAGACCAATTGAATTGACTACAGCACTAAATTGATTAATTTGAAAACCCTTATTTTTGACATGCACAGAAACAAATGTGCTTAGGATGGAAAATAAATACTCCATGGTAAAACAAAATTTCTGAGAGACAAGCAGAATGGCAAAGGAATAGGTTTTGTAAAGGATGACAGAAGACCTTAATAAGAGGCCTCAGGATGATTATGAAGTAGAATCAATATAGGAATTTAGGAAGAGCTAGAACCAGACCACTGAGGTGAGAAATTTATAAACCCCCTAACAGTAATCATAACGTTAGACAGAGCATCCACAATCATTACAGCTTATAATAGAGGCAAAGTGATAATTGTGGGGGGCTTTAATCTTCCTCTAGACTGGGACAAGCACATTGGCAAGAATGCTCTAAAACGAGTTATCAAATGTTTTCATAACAATTTCTTGAAGCAATATAGTGTAGAACAGACTGGGGATAAAGCTATGTTACATATAGTATCGCATATTGAATCAAGATTAATTAGTAATGTCCTGGAGCTCCACTCTGCTCACCAGTTCCCTTTCCTTTTCTCTTCCTCTCTCTCCTCTCCGCAGTAATTCTATACTCCCAACTCCCGCCCTTTTAATTACCTACTTAATACTTATCTGGGAACCACGGGGCGAGAGCGGGGCCGGTGAGGGGGGCAGCAGCAGTTGGTGCGGAGAGTGGGGACGGTGAGGGGGTGGCAGTCGGCGGTGAGCACGGGCCTTTCACCTGGCGGTGGCGGCCTCCTGGGTGTCCTAGTGATTGGAGCGGCGCCTGCACCATTGTCGAAATGGGACTTGGGACTCTGAAATCGGGGCTTTTCTTTTTCTTGCTTATCTTTTGGCTGTGTTAAAATCTTTTAATTCTGGTTTTTGTAACCAAATGGGCGCCAGGGAATGGGGACTTTGTGCACATTTCACTGTACTTAGATATTCCAATTCTTAGTATGAGAGACAAATAAATAAATCTAAATCTAAAAGATCCTCTGGAAACAGTGATCATAAAAAACTTATAATATATATTCCAAGTCATATAATATGGATTGAATTCCATTTTAAGTTTGAAAGTGATGTACTGAAAACACAAATATAAACCTTAAACTTAAACAAAGCAATGACACAAGTATGAGAGCAGAACTTGTTAAGGTCAATTGATCAAGTAGGCTAAAAGCCATGGCTGTAAACAAAGTGGAAAATAATTGAAAATGTTCAGAAGTACATCCATTGAAAAGCAAAACCTTAGCAAAATCAGACCCACCTGTGGCTCACTCAGAAAATTAGGACAGTGTTAGATTAAAAGCTGCTTTTAACATTGCAAAAATTATGGCAATAATGCTGAAGATTTGGAGCTGTTTTAACATAAACCATGAGTTGTCTGCTGATCCTGCAGTATATCATAAATTATGTGCTTGTGTCATACTGTTCTTGAGAATGTTCACTCCTGAAAACAAGGTTGCCATGATCTATAACCTAATAAGTAGATTAACCAATTACCATCTTGGCGTGACAAAAACCTAGGGAAAAAAACTTGTCAACATGGGGTCCCATGCTCACCAAACTGTGATTATGAGTACGGCACCTAAAGTGTGGCGATTCCTACATTAGTGGGTCCAGCACAGGCAGTGGAAGTCTCTCTTTCAGTTAGTGGAGGCTAGGTGGCAACATGGACTGGGTTGAAAACGCTTATTCTGAACTTTTTATTTCTTTATTTTTCTATTTTTTCCCTAAGAATTTGTTTTTAAGAATCTGTACCTAGGCACTTTGTACCTAAGTGGTGCCATAATGTGGTGACTTATAAACTTTTCATCGTACACATTTGAGTACGTTGCAATAAAGCTGATTTTATTCAAAGTTTTGCCTCTGCTTCTTTTTTACTAAACATTATTACACAACACCACCTGTTTTTCCTAAAGAACCATGGAAGTGCTAGAACTCTGAAATCTCAACTCAGCTGCATTCCTCATCACTTGGCAACTTCGCCTCCTTCAATGATCTCACTCCCTATCAATCCCACTTCTCTTAAAATTTGCATGCAAAGAATATTTAAAAATACATCTTTGAGAGTGTCAAGAATAAGAGATTTTAGTAAATGAATCTTTTAATGCTGAGAAAATACAATTATCATTAGATCATTCAACTCCAGACATCTCTTGTACAGCGTAGTTATTCTGCACCTTTGATGCAAGTTGTCACAAGACATCGATGACACTTAATTAATCGTTGTGCTTCACCTTTTTTGCATTCTACTTGTTTTTTTGATAATTTTGTATCCCTCTCTACTCATGTGGAAACTGGTTCTGGCCTTCTTTACTCGACCAATCTCTGTTACAAGTTCCTGACTAATATCTTCATAGGCATCATCTTTGCTGACATTAATCAATGTCTCAACTCCCCTAGACTTTTTCTACTCAATTTTACCCATTATGTAAATACCATCCCTTTAGCCTGTCTGACCTACCTTCCTATTCCTATACTTTTTTCTAGAATTTAGAAGGTTAAGGGATGGTTTGGTTGACGTTTAAGATATTGAGAGGAAAAGACAGGGTAAAGATAAACTATTTCCACCCTTTAGGGATTCTGGAACTAAGGGGCACAGTATGAGAATCAGGGCCAGACCATTCAGGAGAGATGTTAAGAAGCACTTCAGTACACAAAAGAGCAGCAGATTTTTGGAACGGTTTACCACAAATGGCAGTGGATGCTGGATCAGTTGCTAATTTTAAATCTGACATAGATATATCAGTCAAAGACAGGTATATGGATGTTAGGTCACATATCAGCCGTGATATCATCGAAGAGTTGAACAGGCCCAAGTGGCTTAAATGGTCTACTCCTACTCCCATGCTCCTATGATCCGACTCTAATTTCTGTCAGTTAAACAATCTTCAATCCATGCATGAATATCCTGAATGACTAAGGATACCGATCAGAAAATAAGGAAGAAAAGGAGGCATGTGATGCATACCAGAATAATATTAGCAATAGAAATCAAAGGGAGTATCTCTATTCAGGATAGAGTCTAAGGCTGGAATAAGGAAGGCTAAGAGGAAGCATGAGGAAAGAACGGCACTAAACAAATAGTACAGATGTTCTTCAAACAAATCAACAGTAAAAGATTAGTGAGGGATAGAGTGGGGTCCATAAGGAACAAGCAGGGGAAGCTGCTCACTGAAGTGAAGGGTTCGGAAGAGATATTAATTGAGAACTTTGCTCTGTCTTTACCAAATTAGAAAATGGTGACAATGGCAAAGTTAAAAGTGGGCGTTGAGCAACTGAGTAGTGTAGTGTTAGATGAGGAAGAGGTGTTAGAAAGGCTGGCAACACTCCAGGTAGAGAAGTCACCAGCAACAAAAACAAAGTTGGTGGAAAAGCTCAGCAGGTCTGACAGCATCTGTGAAGGACAAAACAGAGTTAACGTTTCGGGTCCAGTGACCCTTCCTTTGTTTTTCTTCTTGATTTACAGCATCCGCAGTTCTTTGGTTTTTATTTAGAGAAGTCACCAGGCCTGGATGGGTGCACCCTAGACTGCTGAAAAGGAGAGAGAGAGCAAATTGTGGAGACCTTGACGGAATTTTTCCAGGTCTCTCCAAACACAGGATCAGTCCCAGGGGATTGGAGGATTGAAAATGTGACACTGTTATTTAAAACAAAAAGGGGCAAAGGATAACCCAGGAAACTACTAAACCTCTATCAGAGATAGTAGGAACTGCAGATGCTGGAGAATCTGAGATAACAAGGTGTAGAGCTGGATGAACACAGCAGGTCAAGCAGCATCAGAGGAGCAGGAAGGCTGACGTTTCGGGCCTAGAACCTTCTTCACCAGCTGCTCAAAAGAAGTTAAAGACAAAGTGCACTTAAATGAATAGGCCAAGCACTGCAAAATTAAAAAAACTGACTTGACAGCTCCCAACTCAGTCCACATCCAACCATATAAAGCAAGTGAGAGACTATCTAATCGGACTGGGTTGAATGTAAAATTAGGTGGCCCTCAGAGGCGATACTCTGGCAGTTCAACATCCACTCAAAGGATATTGCAATTTGAAATCTAAAATGTTTCTCACAGTACTTGAAGCTAGAGGGGAAGAGGGGAAAATCAGCTTCATCAAAGCATTGTGAAAATTGGACATCAGTGTTTGGCAGCATGATTAAAACATCTTACTTACAGCTTGAGGCACTGAGACTTTGTACAATTACAAGGTTTCCTAGGTCGGGTTCCTGACTCTGATGTCGATGACCTAAATAAAAGAGAAAAAGGGCAGATAGAGGAAGAAGAAAAATAAAGCTTTCTTAACTTCCCAAAGAAAACAGCACATTGCTTAATCTTGGAATTGTGGATTAATGAAGCAGACTTAATTTCATGGACATTTCGGGATCAAGACAAGTATGCATTTTATACATATTAACACAATGTTCAGTATGCTGAAATTGTTCTTTCCACCTTAATTTTTCTTTTAAAAACATTTGTAAGCATTATAAAAGCATGGATTTGCTTCCTCAATCACCAGGGCAACACTGACAATTCAAGTAAGTGTTTCAGTAAAGGACTACATCTAACAAACTTTTCTTTTAAAAAAAAAAGTGGGAAATTTGTGAATTATTGCTAGAAACGTCACAGAAAATCTGAGTCACCGAAGGACCTGACTTTGTGCCACAACTGAAAAGGTACTTGACAAATGAAGCTCCCAGTATTATTTTAGAAAAGATGTATAATCACCCATATGCCTAAGAGCCGCTTAAATGCCCCTAATGAGGCCGACTCCACTACCCTCTCCGGCGAAGCATTCCACGCCCTGACCACTCTCCGAGTAAAGAAGCTACCTCTGATGTCTCCCCTATTTCTACCTCCACTCACTTTAAAACTATGCCCTCTCGTAATAGCTACCTCCACCCTAGGAAGTCGTCTCTGACTGTCCACTCTATCTATACCTCTGATCATCTTGTACACCTCTATCCAGTCACCTCTCATCCTTTGTTGTTCTAAACAGAAAAGCCCTACTCTCTCAATCTTTCCTTGTAAGGCCTTCCCTCCATTCCAGGCAACATCCTGGTAAATCTCCTCTGTACCTTTTCCAACACCTCATAAAGGTCTCCAAAATTATCAAAGATTTCGATGGGACAGACACAGAAAATATTTCCACATGTGGGAATCATCAGAAACACCAAGACAGCACTAAGGAATTCAGAAGGAAGTAATTTTATGTAGAGTGTTTAAGACTGTGGATCTCTCCACCACAGAGTATGACTGGGGTGAACTACAGGATCCTAAATTCATCTGGAAGTTATAAAAGAATGGTGGAGAAGGGAAATGCAGTCTATAGCATTTGATGAATAAGGACAGGAAGTGGAATATAAAATAGAGAGATGGACTGGTTGGGCCAAATGCCTAAGTTCCTACCATTTTCATGCAATTCTATATAACTTAATCATTGTACATAATAACACTATTGCATTATTGACTTACCCATTGATAGGGAGCTTTGCTTGAGTTTGAATGTTGGATGTTCCAGAAAACCCATTGTTACTGGATATTGATACATAGGAGGTTTGCTGCAACTAAAATTAAGGGTAAAGTTAAATGACATGTATATCTGTCATCTGCCATTCATTTAATGACACTTCATATCTCCATAACAGTTTACATTTTATTGATAATACACTGAGTGCTATTTGGTATCTTCCTTTATAAAGTAAAGCAGCTATTCTGCTGCTGAAAAGATCAGCGGGTCGCCACTCTTCACCTCCTGACCTGGATGGATGTCCCATCAACGGTCATTGGTTAATGTGTTATATTATGGTTAGTATACCTTGGAGAGATGCTCATGATGTCAAATTGCATATTACATAATACAACAAGCTAATAGTGGGAATCCTGGATAATCTTTATGGGGCATTAATGTTAATTGTAACCTCTCAATTAGTACCTTTCCTGGTACTACCAGTGAAATCTGGGCTTCACAATTATGATCAACATTAGACAAAGCATTTACAAACTTGAGCATCAGTGTACATGCACTTACATTTACTTCAGTAATAAGGAGAATAGAACCCTAATTCATCTGGTCAACATAATTGATTAAGAATGAAATAAAAGGTGATTAATTTATATAATGTCCTTTTGTGATCTCAGGACATCTAAAGTATTTCATTGGCTGAAAGTACTTTAAAAATATAGTTATGCAAGAACTGCTACAACCAACTTAGACACACCACACTCCCACAAAGCAAAGTGATAATCAGATAACCTGATTAATTATTCTTCAACCAACAAGCTAAAAATACTGGCTAGGACAGTGTAAAATTGGTGGTGTGGGATCTTTAACATCTAGCTGGGAGGTGGTGGGGAGGAACCAATGGACCTTTGCTAACAATTTGTACAATACTGAGGCACTGCTACACTGTTTACAATCATTTTAGATTTTGTACAGTTTTGAAGTAAATCATGAAACAATAACTTTTTGATCTGGAGGGGAGTGTGCTACGACTGAACCATTGGTTGACACTTGAGCTGTTGAATTATTACATGTAGTAACAATTGAAGAGCTACAGTGGCAACTTTTAAAAATGCTATTCTGTAGATTGAATTAAAATTCATAGTAGTAGTTATCTTCAAGCTTGAAAGAGGTCTGTAATGTTACATAGATAGTTAAAATATTACAGGTAAAATCCTTCACCAAAACAGACAAAGCATCTAACCTAAAACATTCTGCTCAGAAAAGCTACTGATGTGAATGCCTTGATTATTGTTTCAAGTTTGCACTTCTTTTTGCTCATGTTCATTATCTTAAATACAATTTAATACCATTAGCTGATAGAAAAGAGGCACAAAGACTGAAAATTTGAAATCACCAGGAGCAATCAAGTGCAGGATGGTATTCTATTTGAGATATGCTGATCATTACAGCATGAAAACTGATGTTCAGCGTGCATTCAAATATTTCATATTGCTTTCAAAAAGTGTGAACCTGTACCAACTGAGAACAAAAGCCATTTGTTCCCCTGATCACAGAACCACAACACCAGGGGGTGGGACAAAAGAAAAAATTAAATAGTCAGAGGATCATGATTAAAAGAGTTTATAGCTACTTTATAATGCAGAAAACCAATTGTTCGACGTCCGCAGTAAAACCAGTATTCTTGCCAGTTGCAGCAGACTGCATGATGCAGTAGAATCCAACAGTGCTAGATCAGAGTCCTGTATAGTCTAAAAAGCAGCTCTGGGCAATTAGGCAAATAAAATTAAATTAAATTTCATTCATCTAATACTTACAAAACAATTTCATTTCTAAAAATCTTGGCTAAGTATTTCTTCCACTTGCCTGTGTAACATATTGAGCTGGGACAACCGCATAGCCCATGCTGCCAGTTCCAGGAGCTGGTGCCAGAACAGTGCCTGGTGGGAGATTCGTTAAGTTAGGCTGGATCTGTGGCAGTGCAGTTGCAGGCATAATGAGTCTTTGTTGGGGTTGGCTGGTAGTAACTATTTGTGTCGTGCTGCCAATGGGTTTAGGAACCACCTAAAGAGAGAATTAAGAAAAAAGTTTCTTAAAATTGTAAGACTAACTGCTGCGAAATAGAAAGTTATGTTTGGTTTATATGCAATCATAACTCAGAAGTATTTGCCTTTAAGCCAAAGAATTCTTATTGTCGGAGAGACTTGCAATAAATTACATACATCCGATTAGTTCAATGACTGAAAAACAAACAGGTGTACAAAGTGACAGGTAAAGGTAAGGGAAAGGCTCTTTAAGTCAAAGGGAAATGTAGAGTGCTGGACCCCCCCCACCCCACCAAACCAAAACTGGTGTTAAGACAACTGCACTTTTTGATTTATATTAATGACGTAGATTTTGATATAATTTCAGTGTTGTAGAGGATGTAAAACTTGGAAATTGAGTCAACAGCAAGAGGAAAACTCTTAGAATTCAGTAGGACATGGACAAACCAAAAAATAAGCAGACACATGTCAAATGAAATTTAACACAGTGAAATGATTCATGAGGTTTGAACAGTAGGAGAGGAAACATCAACTACATGGTATTACCTTAAAGGGAACAAGAACCGAAGAGGGTGCCTGTACATAAATCTTTGAAATGTGGCAGCGCAAGTTGGGATGGCTGTTAAAATAGGATCTTTGGCTTTATAAACAAAGGCATAAACTACAAAAATCAAGAAAGTTATGTTTAATCTTGACAAATCACTGGCCAGGCATCTGCTGGAGTTTTACAAATAATTCTGGGCACTTCATATTAGGATGGATGTCAAGACTTTGGATAGGGCGCATAAAAGATTGACTAGAATGATAAAGCATAAAAAAGTTTCCATTATGCAGAATGACTACAGAAATTATAGTGTTTTCTTTACAGCAGAGAAGACTATGACTAACAGAAATAGGTATAGGAGTCGGCCATTCAGCCCCATGAGCTGTTCCCACGTTAAGAGAAGACTTTATGGAGATGTTCAAAATTGTAATGGCTTTAATTATTTCATTTTAACACTATAATGTCGTAATGTGTTATAAATATTGGGTCAAACAAAAAAGAGGCACTGTATTATACAAACATCTGAGCATTAAACTAGTGAGCACTTAATTGAATGTCAATTTATCGATGACATGGGCTGGATGACAGCACTATAGCTGTAAAGACAAGCTACATAAATTACGACTTATTACTCACATTTTTAATGCCCTGTGCTGGTGCAATTGGGACAGACATACGAACTTGTGGATTCAGCACAACTGCCTTAGCTGTTTGAGGGAAGTAAAAATGGGTTACAGAACAGAACAGGGTAGAAAGTTTACTTTTAAATTCAATTTTACACAAACTAGAAAAACTATGAAATCATGTGTATTGGAGTATAATTTATAATAACTGATAACATTCGGTGTGGAAACAACTTCTACAGCTTTGGAAAAAAAAAAATTGAAAACTGCTCGGGGTTTGAGCACTCAAGATTAGAAACAATGCGTTTTTTAAAAGCAAGATTACTTTGCTTCAACATGTATCTAAGAAAAGTGCTGAGATTTAATATCCCGTTCAGTGCAGTTGAAAAGAACAACCGTTAATTTATAATAATTTTACGTACTTCAGTTCACAAAGTGCAGATGAGATAATCCAGTCAGGTGTCCACATTCCAATTTTCTTACAAACCTTCATTACTGCACTCTGTGCGCTTTCAACTGAAATCAGATCTTGCCTTCTACTTGTCTTGTTTTATTTCACATGCACTCAGAAATACCTGCTAAAATGCCCACTTCAGCATTTCCCCAACTCAATTTCTGCCTCTGGCTTGCTGCCCAAGGCTCTAGCCCATCCCCAACTTTCCTACCATTAAAACAGTATCAGCAGACACTGACAGAAGGCAGGATCACAATGTCAGGAAATGTCTAGAGTCTCTATTTTCACTTTCAAATAAAAATCCTGTCCCAGAAGTTTTCATATTTCTGAAATATATTTTCTAAAAGTAAAACATGAGAACCAAATGCACTAAATATATTTTCTTCAAATTGGGTGCATGTGGTGCAGTGGCAGTGTCCCTACTTGAGCCAGCAGCCCTAGCCTCATCTGTACCTTAACATCTCTGAACAGGGTGATTAAAAACATGTATTTTCTTCAAGCTTTCTACTGAAAGGGCAGGCCGTTTATGATAAACCACAATAAAACACTTTTTTTTTTAAAAAAACTGCAGGCAAGGAGATAGGTTCCAAATTAGATACGTGCGAGTCACTCGAGATGAAACATTTACTCTTCACTGAGAACTATCACTTCTCCTTGTAAATCTAACATTTTTGCTTTACCTTAACTGAGTATTTATTGTTCACAGATCTAAGTCCAGAAAATTGACATTTCAGACACAATTTTCACTAATCAATAAACTTCATGATTCAGAAGGAATTCCAAAAATTAAATTTTCTTTAAGCAAACCTTGTGCTAAAGGTTGTGTATTGGCGCTGGAGCTAGAGCTGACCGTCTGAGGGGTGCCACTGGCTGTCGTTGCAGTAACTAGCCGTACATAATGAAACTTGCTCCCTGGTACTTGTATCTGCTGAACGTTGGGTGGTGTTGCCAGAGGAATGATGGTTTTGAACTGGGTAGCATTCACTGTTCCCATTGTTAGTCCTTGGGCAGCTGGCTTCACTGTCTGCTCAGAAGTCAATACACAGTGTTCAGTAAAAACATAACGTGACATACTTCAGAAATCAGAATTCTCAAACTGACAAAACAAGTGCATTAAGAGAAAATCTTGAAATCAGATTACATACCATAGCATTGAAAAAAGATGTTATAACAGCATGGGGAATCCAATTTTTAAAAAAGCCAACAATATCAAGATGAGAAATTCTGTGGCACAAAGCACAACAACACATACTTTTCTCTCTCAATGAAAGTGCAGTCTCAGACTATTACCAACAAACTTGACTGCATAATTACAAATCTAAAAATACAAGGTAGCACACGAATCAAAAGATTTATTTTAAATAGCTTTGCCCACTTTTCTACTGTGAAATCACTGTTGATAAACACTGGACGTTCTCCTTCAACTCCCCTTGGCAGAATGCACTGTGTTGGAACTAAAATGCACAAAGCACACATTCAGGTCAGGTATTTCTTGGATTACATGTACAGTATAGAAGTCCCTCACTGCAACAACAATATGCTTCAGCCCGAGCCAAACATGTGCAATCCAGCGAATCGGCATGGCACCTCTCTTATACATTACTAAGTTGTAATTAAATTGTGTGCAAATGTGTAGCCTGGATCCCTTTAAAACCTGGATCTCGAGGACCACCACCTTGATGTGATGGTAATGCTTGTACTCTCTGATGCTTTGAATGATGGTATCAGGAGTTCCTCACCCCCAGCATGGCCACCTATGGCACCAAAGATCAGGGAGGAGTCAGACAAACTACATCCAAATTCTCAATAATAGAAGAGGCTAAGGACAACTATGCATCTCTCCACATGCAAAGGCAGCTGCAGAGGCAAGATAGATAGTTTGACAACTCATTGAAATCTGACTACTAACCAGTAAAAATTGGATGGTAATGATGGCACCACAGAGCCCCATGTAAATAAAGTCACATGCAGGGCTCTACCAGGGTCCATTTGTCAAGTACTGCGGTAATGGAGAACTGGCAATGGAAACAAGGCTACGAATTTGGGAGATTTTAGTCAGAAATCTGACAACAGGAGATAGATGCATGGAGGTCATTGGATACCGGCAGTAAATAGCAGTGAGTTTGGGCAGTAATTCAATTCCAGAACAGAGGGGAGGAATGAAGTTAGTTATAATAGATTCTAGTTTCTCAAATAAACATTAAGTTGGAGCATTGTCGCTGTCACCAGTGCTGGTTTGATGAAAATGCCACTGCCTGGAACAAAAACTATCTACTCTCATCGCCTAGCAGAACAACATATAGGCACAAGTCAAGAAGGTAACAGTCCAACAGCTCAAGGTTGCTGCTTAAAGAAAATTCCAGCACTTAAAAGGATATATAGCGAGAACAGAAAGCCCAAGAGAAGCAAAAAAATTATGTGAAGAGTTTTGAAGCCACCAGGGCCATCTATAGACCTAGACCAAATGGACAAAATTCGCTCAAGTCTACAAAGACGTTTTGAACAACTCAACTGTAAATTCACAGTTGCAGTTGATATTCTCCAAGCTGTCCACAGTGCCCTGTAGTAGAATCTGTTGGGTATTCAATTACAACAAGCAATCAAATAGGTGGAAAACAAAGCTTGGCCCCAGTGATGTTCCAGCTGAGGTCTTCAAAACTCAAACTACGGCTCACATCCCATGGATTTAAACAGCAAAAGAACAAAGCGATAAATTTGCAGTGTATAAACCGGAGGTATTTCCGTGCAGCTCATAGCTGTGAAAATCTTGACAAGCATTCTCCTGAATCATCCATTTCTTTCAGTACTTCTTTCCAGAGACAATGTAAATTTGGAACTTTCAGAGGAACCACAAGCATGTTCTTTGCTCCCAGACAAATTCAAGAAATATGTCGAGAATAAAAATCCTCATGCATTCAAGAAACCTGGGTATCCAAAAAAGTGGAATTGCTTAACAGTGATATGAGAGCAACTACTCAAGTGAGAAACCTCAAACTGACACCTTTAAAATTCTGACCCACATCAGGCAAAGCTATATCATAGCCCTCAAACATTTTGAAATCTACCTGATTATGGCTATTCACCATAAAGACGACTGTGCTCCACTCTGTATTAAAAATTGCCTTGATGGAAAACTGTTTAACCTCCATGCCAAAACAAAACTCCTTTCTCAAACCAAACCCTGGTCAGCCAAATATTCTACTTCCCATATATGTGGAAGGTCAAACTCTGGAATACGTTCAGCACTTTACATATCTAGACAGCCACAAATGTCGAAGAAATCCAACACTGGAACAGTGGTGCCAGCTCAACTTTCTATAAACTAGTGAGTGTTTGACAATTAGGATCTCTTTGTCTGACAGAAATCCAAGTACTAAGCAGTAGTCTTCACCAGATTCTTGTACCATAGAGAGACCCAGACTGTGAATTTGTGACACAGAAGAGTGCCAAAGAAATTTAAACAGTAAACCCTCTGCCACATTTTTCCAGATTTAATGGAAAAACTGTTGAAGAAAGTCCACAAGAATTAAGGCAAAACACCTGCAAAATCAACTTTGATGAATGTCCCTGAATGTCTGAAAGCATCTCTCCTGCTAGGTTCAACTTCCTCATCTCTCAAATGATGAATGTTCAGGAGACAGACAGAAGAAAATGCTTCAGAGAGACTTGGACAGTCTCCTTGAAGGCTGATAGCATTACAATCATTGACCGGGAAGAGCTTATTATCAACTGTTCAAAATGGCAACAACCTGTCCATGAAAATGCATCTGGATTTGAGTCACAAGTTCTTCATGATGAAACAGAGAGAACAAAGGAAAAGAAACCAAATCCCACACTCTGGATCTCCCCAACTTGAAGGACTTCCTGCAAGTCTTTGGGCAGGTCAAGCATCCCCAGTCACAAGATGATCCTAGAAACTTGAGATCCAGAGTTGATGCTCTTCTCAAACTAAGTATCAGTCAACGACAAATAACTCTTAAAATTACGCACACAAGACCCTTAAAAAGATTCCTGAAGGTCATAAGGTTGAGGAGCAGAATTAGGCCATTCTGCCCATCACATCTACTCTGCCATTTGATCACAGTTGATATGTTTCTCAACTCCACTCTCTTGGCTTTTTCCTGTACCCCTTGATCCCCTGACTAATCAAGAACCTATCTCTATCTTAAATACACTCAATGGCTTGGCCTCCACAGCCTTCGGCACAATGAGTTCTACAGATTCATCACCCTCTGGCTGAAGAAATTCCTCCACATTTCAGTTATACAGCGTCGACCTTTTACTCCGAGACTATGCCCTCGGGCCCTAGTTTCTCTGACTAATGGAAACATCTTTGCCACGTCCATTCTATCCAGGCCTCAAAGTATTCTCTCAGCTTCAATCAGATCCCCCTTATCCTTCTAAACTCCACTGAGATCACCAGAATCCTCAACCACTCCTCATAAGACAAGACCTTAATCCCTGGGATCATTCTGGAGAACTTCCTCTGGACCCCTCCAATGCCAGCACATGCTTCCTTAGATATGGGATTGAAAACTGCTGACAATATTGCAAATGATGAACAAAAACAAAGTAGCTGGAGAAGCTCAACAGATCTGGCACCATCTGTGAAGGAGAAAACAGAGTCCTCTGAGGAAGGGTCACCGGATCTGAAATGTTAACTCTTGTTTTTTCCTTCACAGATGCTGCCAGATCTGTTGAGCTTCTCCAGCAACTTTGTTTTTGTTCCTGATTTACAGCATCCGCAGTTCTTTCGGTTTTTATATTCCAAATGATGTCTGACCAGAGCCTTAAACAACCTCACTTGTACATCTCTGCTCGTGAACTGGTCCTCTCGAAATGAATGCTGACATTGCATTTGCCTTTCTAACTGCCAACTGAACCTGCATGTTAACCTTAACAGAATCCTGAACTAGGACTCCTAAGTACCCTTGTACTTCAGATTTCCAAAGCCCTTTTCCATTTAGAAAATAGTCTATGCCTCTGTTCTTCCTACCAAAGTGTATAACCTCTCACTTTGCATACTCTCCTAGCTTGTCCAAGGACACTATAATCCTCCTGCTTCCTCAACATTACCTGCCCCTCCACCAATCTTTGTCATCTGCAAACTTAGCAACAATGCCCTCAGTTCCTTCACCCAGATCATTAACTATATATTATGGAGCAGTTGTGATCCCACAGGGGTCAGTGTTGGAACTCCAAGTCACCAGATGCCATTTCGAAAAAGACCCTTTACCGCTACTCTCTGCCTTCTGCCAGTCAGCCAATCCTCTATCCATGCCAGCACTTTGCCGCTAACATTGTGCATTCTTCTCTTATTTAGCAGCCTCCTTATCAAACTATAACACTAAGCCTAAAATCAGACCTCAAAAGATGAGAAACACTGCCATTGACTGCTACTCAGCACCCATCGCTCTTTTACTTATATCCATTTTTAAGAGGAGGAATGAAATGGGAATAAGCTAACAACACAATCAGGCTTACAAATTTAGTGAATTTTAAAAGTGTATTGAAATAAAATTGATCAATTCCAGACTACAAATTTTAAACAATTCAAATTTCTTCTCCAACAACCGCCTAACCCTGTGTTGTCCATGCAGGATATGAGACACAGATGGAGAGAGAGAGAAAAAAAAACCTTATTTGGAGACTTCAGAGGAGAGATAGCAATCTTGTTGGCTGTCTGTTGTGCTGCAGAGTTGAAATTGGACCCAATAGCACTGCCTTCAGAAATAGTGATAGTGTTTGGGGCAGTTCCAAGCGCATTCTGAGGAAGAACTCTACCTGCAAAATAACAACAAAACCAAAAGTAAATATGTTTGAATAGAGTTCATACAAAAAGAGAAATTTGAAAATCTCAAAAGAACACTGGGAGAATAACCTGTTATAATGTTCTTGTTGTGAACAGGTTTGGCAATGATGAATTTTGTGATCATTGGTCCTGCAGCAGAAGTGGATGTGCATTTCTTGGCAATCTGCAAAACACATAACAGTCAAAAAACGTGCAGCTGGAAAAGCACAGCAGGTCAGACAGCATCCGAAGAGCATGAAAGTCAATGTTTCGGGTTGGAACCCTTCTTCAGGGCTGGGGAGGGGGACAGAAACCCAGAAATAAATAGAGGGAGAGGGTGGGCGGGGGGGGAGGGTAGGGGAGATGGAGATAGGTGGACGCAGCTAGGGGGTGATTGTGGTTGATCAGTGGGAAGGGTGGAGCAGAGAGGTGAATCAGAAAATGGACAGGTGAGGGGAGGAGAAAATCTTTAAAAACTGGTGAAGTCAATATTCAGGCCATTGGGCTGTAAACTCCCAAGGTGAAATGGAGGTATTGTTCCTCCAGTTTGTGTTTGGCCTCACTCTGACAGTGGAGGAGGCGGCCAAGGATGGACAAAATACATAAACTTCTGAGAATAGAAAATGAATAAATCTTTAAATTGGTCTAAAGCTTTACTTTCACGCTTCGCACCCTTAATAGGTGAATGTACGATAGGGGGGAGAATCGATAAAAGTATAGTGGAAGGAACAATGCTTGGATGGAAACAAGCTTGGTGGACCACTCCAAATGCAACCTGAAAACAGCCCCTGAAAAACAGAGGAGATAAAACTAATAAAAAATATGGAGGGGAAAAAAGAAAAAGCAAAAGAAAAAGAAATTACTAAAGAGAGAAGAAAATGGCAACAAAAAGAGAGATCATATCTGCTGACTTGCATGTGCTTGGTGACATTTAAAAGTCAGGAGTATAGACTCTAAGCAAAACTCAGAAACCAATTGCATTATTTAGTCCCATTATGCCTTCTATTTCATGCCATTGACTCCACCTTACATTGTAGAATGCAGATAGATGGACATTAGAATACATTAAGATTCTCTAGAATATTTCCTTTTTTAAAATTTCATTTATGCCATTTTTCTCCTGTTTGACGCATGATTCTATGCATTACTTTTTGTTCTTTTGGAGATCCTACAAATAGAAGCAAGCAGAACTCTTACCAGAAGAGCTAATAAGAGGATAAATAAATTCAGCAATAGATTTGTAAAACCAGTTGAAGCACAAAAGGGGAGAATGTATTTCTGCAGTATTTTGGCAAAATGGAGAGAGAGAAGGGTGGCAAGATGAGAAATTAGATGCATGCTTCATACGAGAAGATTCTCACTGCATATTCACATAGCTCCAAGAACAAGAAAGCACAGTGGTTTAGATTTGATTACTTGGCTAACTTAGAAGCTCCATGGTCATAACTGCAGAAGCTTTCCAGTCCAACTAAATTATCTTGGCCTGTTAGCAGAACGTGAATTCCAAACGAACTTGCCATTCTCTGACAAAATAGATAATGAAGGGTGATTACGAAATTATAATACAACTGCTTTGCATATACTGAAACCTTCATTATTCATATTTTAACAAAATTTGAGACAAGGTGTTATGGAAGATATTACTACTGCACTCTAAATAAATCAATCATGAAACGGGAATCAATCTTGTAACGGAAAATCGACTGGAGTTCAACTTTTTTTTTGAAATGCACTTGCTGTCATTTAAGATCATAAGACATAGGAGCAGAAATTAGGCCATTTGGCCCATCAAGTCTGCACCACCATTCAATTGTGGCTGATTGAGGTGGAGAAACCTTTCTCCCTGTAACCCTTGATCCCCTTGACAATCAAGAAACGATCTCCGTCTTAAACATACTCATTGACTTGGTCTCCACGGCCTTGGGTGGCAATGAATTCCATAGATTCACCACTCTGGCTGAAGAGGTTACAATGCAAACAGAGGCAATTAGGCCAATTGTGTCAGCATTGCACCATTCTCCAACCCCAAACTAGCATCTCAGTTAGTGTCATTCTCCTACCTTCTCCCTGTAACTTTGCATACTGCTCCTTTTCAAATAATCATCAAACCTGCTGCTGAATGCCTCAACTGAACCCATTTCCAATTCACTCTAATGCAGGGCTCCAGACAATATCCACTGGGTGAGAGAAAATGTTTTGTCTCATACCACTTTTGCTTCTTTTTCTAATTACTGTAAATTGTGTTCTCTTGTTGTCAACCCTTTCATAAGCGATAACATTTTCTTTTATATGCTCTATCTAGATCTCTCATGATTTTGAATATTTCAACCAGGTCTCTTCAAGAAAACAGCACCATCTTCTCAAATTTGTCTTCCTAATTGAAAATCCTCATTCATTGATTCTGGCAAACGTTCTCGTAAATCTCTTTTGTATTGTGTCTAATGCCTTCACATCCATTCTGAAATATGGCACATCGAGTGAATGCAATACCGACTGTAGCCGAACTGGTGAATTATACAAGGTTAACATAACCTCCTTGCTCTTTCACTAGTGTTCTTGCACCATCCAATTCTAAGGAAGACTGAAAAATCTTTGCAAAGTACAGAGGCACAGGCAATCTCATTTCCTTCAGTAATCTTGGGTGCATCACATCTGGCCCTGCTGTCTGGGCAATTTTAAGTACGGTCAGCCTATCAAAACCTCCTCCTTTTCAATTTTAAACACTTCTCGCCACCAAATTCCCTCCCGTCATAACGAGGTGGGTAGCACCATTGTCCTTGCTAAAGACTGATGTAAAACACTTGTTCACTGCTTCAACCTTTCGTTATTTATATACTGACAGAAGGCTTTGGCATTTCCTTTTATGTTGGCTGCTAGCCTGTCTTTGTCCTTTTTTTTTTAAGATGTGCTTTTCACAACCCCTCCAATCGTTCTATATCCAGCCCATCTCAAATGTATTTTATACCCAACATTTCTGTACACTTAAGTATAATTTCATTTTATCTCTTTTCCTATTTTAGCCCTAGTTTTCCCCTCAAAAGGGAATATACCTTGATTGTGCCTAAACCACCACCTCTTTGAGGATAGTCCATTGTTCAACAATGTTTGCCTGCCAAACTTAATCTCCAATTTAATCTACCCAGATCCATTCTTACCACAGATAGTAGGAACTGCAGATGCTGGAGAATCCCAGGCAACAAGGTGCAGAGCTGGATGAACACAGCAGGCCAAGCAGCATCATAGGAGCAGGAAGGCTGACGTTTCGGGCCTAGACCCTGTGTTCACCCAGCTCTGCACCTTGTTGTCTCCATTCTTACCACACTCTAGTTGGCTTTCCCCCACTTAATTCTTCTTACTCTGGGCTGTTCTCTACCCTTTCCCATAGTCAATCTAAAAACAAAATGACAAGAATCACTGTTCCCTAAATAATCACCCAGAGACACTTGATCCACTTGGCCCAACTTATTCGCAAGAATAAGGTCAAGTAATGCTTCTTTTCTCAGAGAACTGGAAATGTAATATGTTGTAGAAAATTTGCCTGAACACACACAGCAAACTCGTGACACTCTGCCCTTTACTATAATCATTTAAGTTTGAAGGCTTTTACCATCGCAAAAGACATCTCACTCAATTGGAAATCCAGTATGATGAAAGTGTTTTTAATTAATATAGCAGCTAAAGTGTAAAAACGTTTGCTAACACTACAAAGGCAAAACCACACAGCATAATTTTTCACATTTTTCCACATGATACTCCATCTGCCAGTTCTTTGCACACATTTATCGATATCCCTTTGCAAGCACAGCTGTTTCCTTGGGGATCCAATTTTCTTACCTCACATTTATATTCATGTGGCAATTGTAAAATTAAGTGGCTACATAGCATAAGAATATTTTAATTGAATAAAATGGTTTGTTCTTTTCAGAACTTCGTTTCATGGCTGCAGTTTTAAAATGGAATCTGATAACTACTAAACCACAATTCTCCCAAGACATTTCTTGAAAAACACATTTACTTGTGTGAATCCACTTGAAGAACCTACTTGACTTCACCCTCAATCTACCTGTCACGTATGTCCATCCATGACATCATTGGTAGGAGTAACCACTGCACAGTCCTTACAGAGACAAAGTCCTTTCTTCACCTTTAAGGTATCTTCCATCTTGTTGTGTGGCACTACCACCATACAAAACTGGACGGACTGTGAACAGACGAAGTACAAAACTAGTGAAGCTATAAAACAGGACTCCTTTTGTGCCAAATAGTAGCAGCAGCCTGTTGGGGCTAACAATCCCACAACTAATATAAATCAAATCTTAACTCTGTAGCCCAGGTACATCAAGTTGTGAATGGCGATAAATAATCAAACAATTAAGGGAATTGGAGACTCCACAATTATCCTCAAAGATGGGGGAAGCCCAGCACACCAGTGCAAAAGACAAGTCTGGAGTACCTGCAGTCTTGAGTCAGAAATGGCAAGTGGATGATCTATCTCAGCCTGTTCCTGAGGTCCACGGCATTAGAATGCCAGTCTTCAGCCAATTTGATTCAATCCACATGACATCAAGAAACAGCTGAAGACACTGGGTAGGACAGTGGCTGTTGGTTCTGGCAATAGTACTAAATACTGTTCCTGTACAGCTACAGCACTGACATCAACCCAACAAAATGACATATCCGGTGTACAAAACGCAGGGCAAATCCAATGCAACCAATTACTGCCCTATCAGTCTACTCTCCATCATCAGCAAAAATAATGGAAGAGGTTGACAACAGTATATCAAGGAGCACTCAAAAGGGAACAATCTGCTCACTGTCCTCAGTTTAGTTTTCACCATGGCCACTCAACTCCTTCCCCTATTACAGCCTTGGTCCTTGAGGGAGTGATACTGCCCTTGACATCAAGGTAGCATTTGACCGAGTATAACATGGAGGAACACCAGCAAAACTGTGTCAATGGGAATCAAGGGGGAAAGCTCTGAATGGAGTTATGCCAAGCACAAAAGATGGTGGCTGTGGTAATTGTTTTCATTTTTATTCATTAGGGAATGCGGGGTTAGCATTAATTGTCCATACCTCATTGCCCTTGTGATGGCGGTGAGGGGTGTTCTAGAACCATTGCAGTTAATTTGACATAGGCGCAATCCAATACTGTTGGGGAGAGACTTCGAGGATATTGATCCA